TTTTTCTATGACTCCCATAACTTGAGAAATATACTTTCAATTTTCGTTGGCATTTGAGGAGGAACCGTTATTTCGATTTGAAGAATTGAGATTGATATCAGCAAAGCTTTTGATCACCACACATAGACAACAAATTTTTATGGTGGGAAACCACATCTCGGATGTGGATTCGGATGTGGATTCGGATGTCGGAAGTTCAAGGAACTTTCTTCAGTTACTCCACAGGATTCGATCCTTGGGCCTATCCTCAATATAATTAACACTGCTCAATTGACAACCAGTCTGAAAAACTTAAATATTGTTTGTATGTCGAAGATACGCAATTGTATTATTGTTTCACCACTAATGCTACACTACGAAGCGGAAATGTTCATAACGAAGATTTGAATCGAAAAAGAATGTCTTGGAAGTAGAAACTCCCAAATGCAATGGGAAACAATTTTCAAGGAAAGTAATAAGATCAAGAATCGGTGACGTGGTCATCATAATAGAGGACTCTGTATTTGTTGCAAATCGTTGATAATACCTACCTTCAGCCAATGTTTCCTATACTATCACTATTTATGAACAAAAAGGAGTAACAAACATCCAAAGTGTTTGAGATTTTTTTTTGGCATTAGGAAAAGAGAAACAGTTTCTCATGAACTCAAAAAAAATCGTTGAATAATACTGTCTGACAGGAGAACTTTCAGGAGAACAAAATCATTATCAATACCCCCTTCTTTCATAAAAAAAATATTTATCGCACTGATGTGAGGGTCATAACATGGACAGGTCTAAAATGATCCATGCTATTAGGCACTTCACCGAGTAATTCAAAAATTCATTTACATATATAATAGCCGACTATTCAACCCATCACTCTCTTTTTAAACGAAATCTGGTTCCAGTTCCAGGTAGATACTTCTTATGCCACGCTACATGGATAAATGTGGAAGAAAATAATGTGAAAATATTTGTAGTAATTTTCATATTTCAAATTTTCTCTATATTTGAATAAAATGCCAAATCTGCTATACCTAATATCGCAATCATCACTATCACCACATGAATTAATCCAAAAAATTATTCAGAACCATACAATGGGGATGATTTTTTTAAGGACAAAACACAAGCACTACAGGAAAATCCTTGAGACATTCTAAGAGCGGTGCTTGTGCAAAAGTAGTTATTCACATTGGATTTGAATCGCTGGAGATTAAATCTAGTTGGATAAACGTTCTCAGGAAGTTTATTCCACATAAACGCAGTTTTCCAAATGAAAGAGTTCTTGAACAGTGAAGTTCGAGGTGTAGTGAGTTGAACCTCAAAAAAATAAGCAGCCACAGCCTGTCGCGTATTTTTGATATGTACTCCTCCAATCAGGAGGATGGCTCTTTTCTGGATAGACTCCAGCAGCTTCAGGGTATGCTTGGAGGCGGAGCTTCATTCATGAGAACAATACTCCAAATAAGGTTAGATCAGAGCTTTATAAAGCATCAAAAGTTGCTGAGGTCTGTACAGTTTTCTGGTTCGGAACAATATTCCAAGTTTTTGAGGAGCAGTCTTTGCAATTCCAGCGACATGATTGTGTCAAGACATATTGCTGTCTACTCCAAGACCCCCTGACATTATTATACCGGTTTGGAGACATTGAAGGTAAACGACCATAGACAACGACGTGGGTTAGTTGAATAGGATCTGGAGCAGTTGGCAACTAACTTTAATTTTCATCGATGAGGCCTATTTCTGGATGAATGAATACATGATCAAACAAAATCATCGAATTTGGAACGATATCAATCCACATGAGATCCAAAAGCGACCAATGCATTTCGTGGGGTGGATTCTGGTATGGCGACGTTATTGGTCCATATTTCCTTGAGAACGACGTTGGCCAGGCCATCACTGTCAACGAAGAACACTTTAGGTCGATGATTACCAACTTCTTTTGACCTGAATTGGATGATCTGGACACCGACGACATGTGATTTCAACAGGACGGTGCTACGTGCCACACAGTTCATGTCACATTGGATATCATGCACGAACGATTGGAAGGCATGGTCATCTCATATAGAGGTGATGTAAACTGGCCACCGAGATCGTGCGATTTGACCCCGATAGACTTAAGTCACAGGTGTATGCGCATAAGCCACAAACCATAACGGTCCTCAAAGCCAACATAACCCATTCCATCGGTCAAATTCAGCTTAATTTATGCACCAAAGTCATGGAAAATTAGACGTTTCAGATGTGTTCCACCTAGAGAAGCCGTGACGAACATTTGAATGACGTGTATTCCACACGTGATGGTATCAATAGATCTTTCAAACGAATGAAAAATTTCGATGCTATCTCATACATATACTTTGTTTTATTCAAAATCAAAGATAGATAGCGCTTAATGAAAGACCCTATATATAGTGGGTATGTATGTAGGATCAAAGTGAGTGGGTCTATATGACTTACCAGTGCAACCAACAAGGGTTTCTGTATCTGTATCTGTAGAGTAGGGCGGGTGAGTGTAGGCCCACAGCACTTAGGCCACATGTGACCCATTGTACATCCTCCCGAGGAGTTGTCCTACTAGGTCACCGTCCATCCTGTCCTTTCCAGGAAGGTGAACAGGTCACTAACAGACATCTCCTTTATATGGGCAGGTGTAGGCCAAGACTCACGGGGGCCTCCGCGAAGGTTTTGGAAGGTGCAGCGACATTACTGTCGTTGGGCGGCTTCTTCAACCTTCTTGGGGTTCCCTCCGTGGAGGTGCACAAGTGAGGGAGCTTTCCTGCAGGGGCAGCCGGTTCTTTGCCTTCATGCAAGGCGGAGCTCTTGGCGCCGGCCGCAGGAAGTAGGAAGTGCCCTTGCTGTTGGAGGTAAAGTGGGGGAGGAGGAGGATGCACTTATTGTTGCTGCCACTCCTGCCTCTTTCGCTCTCTTTTTCCTTTTGGCCTCGGCCAAATGCGCTTACGCCTTGGCCTTTGTATTACATCACGAAGTGATCTGCTATGTCCAGCCTCATTCCAAGCGGTAGATTGGGGTGGACATTTCTGGTCATCCCCAGTCACCGCCTTAGATTGAGGTGAGCACTTCTGTCCAGCCTTGGGATTGATTTTTGTTTTTGTTTTGTTATTGTTTTTGAACACACATTTATGTGTGTTCCCACGAGTAGCAAGGAAAGAGTTGGTCACCTCTGGCAGAGCCCCGCATTACCAGAGGTAAGGCTGATTACATTAAGGTTTCGACGCTGGATGGCCGCATATCACCCTGCGGCCATTCAGCTGTCGGCACGATTCCTTACACCTTAGCTTGGGTAGGCTGCTCCACGGTGGCATGTTTTGCAAAGCTTCTGGGGAATTTTAGTTCCCCTCACCCTATACTTACTTCTGCCACTGACCAGGAGTCCGGCGATCCCGTCCGTAAGGCGACATATTGGCTTCCCAGACAGGGCCCCCAATCCCCTGGCCGTTCCCCTATCCACCACCTGGAGACGAGCCTGATAGGTAGCCTAGCAAGGGTTTATTATGGCTCAAAAAACAGTAACTTCCGAATTCAAGTTAGGGGACTCAAATATTAATTCGATGCAGCAAAATCTGCAAAACATAAAGTACTCATATAGACTAATATATATAATTTTAGATTTTTTGTCCGCAGTAACATCTCGTGCAAAACAATTACTGAATCCATAAGTTTTTGTCTAGCAATATTTCCATGTTGGTCACTTCACTTCCCGCAATATCTATATCACCTATATATATGGAAATTATTATTTCATACTTTGAGTTGATTTTTTTCTGCAAAATTAAAGTGGGTTTTGTAAAAATGTACCTGAAGTCCGTACTCATACAATATGCAGCTGGGGTTTTTTCCCTGACTAAATTGAAACAACTGGAGTATTGAGAACTGTCCCGCTCCAGTCTCAGAAAAAATCTCCAACCAGTTACACCACAAATCATTTATCAAGGCAGCTACAAACATGAATCTTACTCTCTCGACTCTCACCCCAACTGAAACAGCTGAAACATCCAAGTACATCTGTAATTGGATTAGGAAAAGGTTCTCATGACGAAGTGACGAATCGGGGTTGATAGTATCGAAAATCTCAAAGTTGGATGCTGCTTCTGACGAAACCTTGATGATGATTTTTTGTCGGTGCACGAAATGTTGTATGACAACGAAAACATAGTGTTACTATCACCATTCGGGTTTGAAGGCCGTCGTAGTTTGAGCTGCATCCTAGTGGCCAGCACTAGTGGCTGGCTTCATCAGAGGTCTATTAATCTTGATTATTCACCGATTCATCGGATTCCAAATTACGACGGTCTTCAAACCCGAATGGAGATAGTAACACAGAAAATCTTGGAGACAAAAGCCTTAACCAATTAATCAACGAAAACATATATGATGAAAATTAGTGCTTCGATTACTAAGTAATTTTTTCACTATGTCAATTAATTTTTTAGTCATTATCAGTTTATACAAATACTCTCATTGTTATATATGGAAATGAAGTAGAGAAAGGAGTTACAAAAAATTGAAGTACAAATTGTTCTTCGACATTCTTACAAGAAACGAAGGTGAGAGACTGAACGTTATTTGAGAGTAAATTTTGCTAAAATCATTCTATAGATTTGAAGGGAGAATTGGTCCAAATGTGAAACCTTGTGGGACCCCATAATAAATGTTTCAAAATGTGAAAACGTGTTTTGTTCAACACACTCTAGAATATTTATGACTCCAGCCATCTGTTCTTGAACGAAGGAGATCGCACGAAGAAGGAATCCGTGGCAACTGTTTAACGAAAACGGGTCACGCAAACTAAACCAAGATATTTCAAAAGGTGGCCAAGGTGGGTCCAGTAATTCATATGTCGAGTACCCATAGAATTTTCGTTGGATTAGTCACTATCTGATGAGGAGACAGGACGCGATAGTGGGGGTGGTGTTTTTTCGAGAAGATGAACAATTTCAAAGACAGGAGACATGAGTGGGGCACACAAAAATCTGGAGGGGGTCAGGCGTCACGCGTTAGTTTAGAGTGAGGATTACACATTGGACGCTTTAGTCAGTGCTTTAGAGGCCACGGAGTTAATTCTAGGATAGACGAACGATAATCGACGACGCGCTATCGACGGGACGACCAAACCACACGCGGTATCACAAAGTGTAAGTGCGGTAAAGTGATCTTGAAAAGCTTCATTTTATTAACAAGAAGTAAGTGCTTTTGTGAGTGATCGATCTGGTGTAGTTTACTTGTGCAACGGAATTGGCCCTTTGGAGTATTTGTGAACCGAAAAGGGTACATACTGGGTGTTCTGCAAATGTCAGCCATAGAATATCATTGTTTTTACTCAGTCTTGAGCGAGTTTTACTTTCTGTCAACATTTTCAGTCCAAACTTTCAGGTTATTCTTGGAAGTACATGGTCCCGCTTATCAACACATTTATCTAAACAAAGATGGAAATATTTGACCGTTATTTACTTTTTAATAATAAATTCACCTTAGGAAAATTATCTTCATATTAAAACAGTTGGAGGGTGTCAAAATATGACAATCTAAATGATCAATCAAACTCGTAAGCGTGAAATTTTGATCATTAATCCTCAAGTACAGCTCTAAAAATAATTCAGACAAAATACCATGATTTTCAAAATCAAATGTAGGTATTATAACTATTGAGGATTATTATAACTATTGAGGATTACGTCACACCCTGCTCATCCAGTTCAGACGCAAGTACGCGTGCCAAGACTACTAGATCAAGTTTCAACCGACATCTGTTGATTTGAAAGTTGGTAACATTACAATATATTAAAAATGAAAAAGACAGTTGGTCCAAATGGCAAAATCCCTCCCTGAAAGAGTGGAGTGGAAACCTCCGACTTCAAAATAATGTCCTAGTTTCGAATATCCTCAAACATTCATCAGAGAAGCGATATTGTTATTATGAAACTTTTTCTCCCATTACTGAGTAATTCAATACCGCAACACCTAATATCGACTCGACGAGAATCCTGTTACTTAATACAGACGCGGTGATGAAGGTGTATCTTAAATTATATCTCGTGCCAGTGGAACTCGAATCGTGTTGCCTTGCCATTGAGTAACTACACACATGTTTTGTTTCGTCAACTTGAACTAAATGCTTGACATGTTTCAGATGGACTAGTCTTTGTAGGACACCCAGTATGTTCTAAAAGTGAACTGCCATGTGTCAACTCGGGATGACAATTTTGACTTGAAGCTGAATATAACATTAACCTAGTTAGCTACGGCTGTTGAAAAGTATTTCGTAAAAGTATTTCTTTTTAGTACGAAACACACGGCAATAGATTTACTAACGCCTTGCCATTTTTATTTGCCGCCTATAAATGACTGCGCGCTCATGAATTCAGTACAGTTTGAATATTTGATTGACGCTAAAATTAAAAAATTATTTTGAAAACCATTGAAATTTTACAATTATTATCCAATTGAGGACATTGGGAAGCATGTACACTTTGATTCAGGGAGCTACAGAAGAACTGAATCTCTAGTGTGTCAAAACACGAATATGAAAAATGACAGTTAACAAAAGGCATTAGTTGAAATGAAAGAAATGAAGAAACCGTTCGAGTATTTCATTGAGAGTGTCTTTATCGCAGCAATTGTGGTAACTCTTTGTTCTCTCGCCTAATTTTGCGCAGGCGCATTAATTTCACAGAGCTCTGTACGTCTTCAAATCATAGATAGCCAATCAAAGTTCCTAATAGAAGAGATCAAATATGCTGTTCTGTACTTTCTGTCAAAGTGGCATAGTGGTTTGCACATGTTCTGTGTACTCTGTCACATGATGTGACGAAAAACATACCGTTGCAACTGTGCAAAATAGTTGAAACAGGTCAGAACTTCATCTGCAGGAAAATATCCACCATTGAATTGTATTCGTTTTTTCTTGTCCGACAATTATTTCAGTTAATACATTTTTTTATTGATTATGAACAACCCAATTTTTTGTTTCTGTGCACCTGGATGAAGATAATGATGATATTGTTTGGGGGGTGAAAAATTTGTTCTTGTTTTCATGTCTCCCAGAAATAATAAACTTTATAGACTTTTATGAATCAATTCAGTGAAAGATATGATACATAGTACTAGATTTATGATGCACTGATATTCATAGTACTAGATGTTGAAAACATGTTGCTGATCTCATTCTGTATTGCAGAATATGCCCGTGGTTTCTGAATACATTCAACTTCTAGATTGACATGAATATTGAAAGGAAGTGTAATACAAATGAATATATTCGGACAGTTTGAACTAATCGACAAATTTCAATATTTGTAGATGTTGCAAACGAATTTCTCTACCAAGAACTTTATCATGAACCCCTTCAGTTCTACTTTAAGTTTTGAAAAGAAATCCAACGCCATTTTTTTCAGTAGATGCCAACCATATTTGAGCGAGGTATGCAAACAGATCATCAGTTGATATTGGGTGTCGCAAGCCAATTTGGCAACCGCTGAACATTCCTAAGCGTTCTATTTATCTGATAATTTCTATATTATTGGCATTTTTCTTTCATTTTTGTTTTCAACCTCACTAGTTCATCAGCTCTTTAAACTTTTCCAAAGTTACATCTTTGTTCAATTGGTAGGAATCTGCAGACGAATTTTATCTCCTTTATTCTCCTTTAACCTCGTTTAACCTCTTCATTCACAATTCACTCCGTTGGTTCAGACTTTCCTTCAATACGCTTCATCCCTCACTGTTCCCAAAGGAATCTGCTTGTACCTTTCTTGTTGATAGCAGATAATTATTACCTTCATTCATACTCATTGTATTGTGTTTTTATCAAGTATTGAATTATCCTTGTTTATCATCAAGACTTACCCGGACGACTTCTCGAAAATACAAGTAAACTTTTGCAGCTCTGACACATCATAGTTTTTCTGTGTACAAGATTGTATGTTCAAGATTAAATTCCAATGGGGACCAACTTTGCTACAACAATATTGTAGACAATATTTGCCAATCAAGGCAGGCTCCTGGAAGATCTTGGAAAAATCTACAAATCGATAAGACTCCACAAGATCTGCCAAAAGTTTTTTTCCGCAACATACCAGGATTTGGGTATGTGTCAGCAAGATAAATTCTTCTGAGATTTCAATGCATATATGCATGAGCTTCATACTTGTCACCCGAACACTCAGTGTTGAATGAAGGTTAAAAAAACATTGAATGCTTTATTTTAGATTTGAAAATTTGTTTTTCAACCAAATTATCTTCCAAAGTGCTCTCCGGTGTTGAAGAGCTATGATTTATTGAAGTTGTAGGCGTTTAAAAGTCAAAGCAGATGCTACCTGTTTTATCTTTATGATGCCTGCGAAAATATACATTGACGTAACTGAAAATAGAGGCTTAAATTACTTACGTGGTGATTTGGAAGCGAACCTTGTTGGTCCAGTGCGGTTTATGAGAAACTGAAAAACTGTGGGATGAATTTATTTTGGCATAAAACTGACTTTACTTTCGAAAAATATCGGAGCTTGCATCACAGTATGAGTCGATTGCCAGAAACTGGGAAAAATGATGAGGTGACTAATAACAGATTAGAAATTATATGTATCTGGCTATTTCTCTCGAACACCAGAGAAACCAGCTGAAGGTCTTTTCGACGAAGAAAGATGTAGGGTACCGATTTTTTTTTCAAGGCTCATTCGACAAATATTAAATGGCACTTTAAGAACAACAATTCTAGCCAATATCTTCATGGTGTACGAAGACTCTTCTTCTAAGCTCCTTAGATACAAGCTAGAGGCGTTGAGCTTTGGTTACCCCTTTTCTCATTCAGCGATCCTTGGTTCTCTCCTTTCTCTTTGACATTCAAGGTTTAAGTTTTCTGATAATCTATTATAGATGACCTCTTCATGAAAACAATCGTCATCAACACTTATTAGTAAATGCATGTTTAATGTTTCTCATTCATAATTCTAGTTCCAGGGAACATTGTTTCCAAAGCTTTTTTCAATTCATAGCAATGACCTGTTGAAGAATACTAGAAACAAAAAATTTCGCTTCGCTGACGGAGCACAAATATCTATTCTTGCAATTTGAATGCAAAAGTATCATCTGCCAATGCACATTTTCACAAACAAGAAGAATCACAACTCACTGAAGACCTGGAGAAAATTTTAACTTAGGGTTACAGTAATCAAGAAGAATTTAATGCTGAAAAACCCATACTTACCTCAGTTTTCCCTAAGACATTAAATGTGTCAAAACTTGATACAATTGCATTGCTGAACTTAGTTGTGCTACTATTTTGATTAGGAATTGACACTTTAACATTTTTTGATGCTTTGTAAACGTAAAGCTGAAGGATCCTCGGAATATTTCTCATATATGAGAGGCAATTAGAGATAACCTGGAACATCGAAGAAAGAGAGGTTGGGAACTTTTCTAGATACATTTACAGGAAATCATTCAGTCCTCTTGAATCCACAGAAAAGTATTTATTAGAAGTGCGCATCAAACTACTGCTAACCATCGTTTGGGGGTTCAACACGATACACCTCCAATTACACTTTTTTTGAACGACAATCGCCACTTTTGCAAATCATCGATCTGGGAGTGCCTCAATGATTTTCTGCAGTGTTTCAGCCATTCCATTCCATTGAAGTAATACATTGAAGCAGTCTGTCTTGATTTGTGGCGGTGGGACTGTTTGCTGGTTAGAGAGTCAGCTCAAGATCGGGTGGTAAAATACTTTTCTAGAAGGTATATACAGCTCACTTTTTGAATTGAATCCAGCTGACCGATACTTGATAAAAATATCCCCTGGATAATGCCACGAAGGGCGTTGAATTATATCCGACAGATGTAGGATTCTTCACTGAAGTTATTCCTGCATATGCTGTTGTCGATACAACTGCCGCAATCGATTTTCAATTATTGGAACACACTTGCAGACCGGTTTCGAGCTGTTTGGCTACTCGTCAGTGCAAGGTAGTGTCTATCATCAACATAAAGTCGATGATTTCCGATAATTGAAAATCGAATTCCTTCGGAGTATCATTCCTCGAACTAGGCTGAAGCGAACGACAAACAACAAGTTTGTCATCACTCCATCTGCCTGTGAACAAGGTAACCATATCCGAAATTTGCCCAATTCCTTGATTGATTGAGAACTGGCTAATATAGTTACTAAATTTTTAGCACATTTCTCACTGGGTATGATTTACGAACGAGGGGATTTTTCCTAGCTCCCTAAAATTTCCTATTTGTCACACGTGTTTTCGGGAAGTACAGAAAAACATTTCAATTATTTGTAACTTAACAACCTGACGAAGTCAGATATAGGTGACATTTAAAATTTACATTCAGGATGAAGATTATTAACTTTCTTCTGCTGGATAGAAAAAATAGTATGAGTTAGAAAAGTTTTGTAAGTGTATATTAGATGCATTTCAATATCTGTCTTGCAATCGGCCAGAAAAGAAGTCATTTTGTAACCGATATTAGCCGATTTCTCGTTTTAATTATTTAGTGGACAGATGAGTATTTCAAATTGAATCTAAGTACATTTTTTTTTGATAAATACCAAATTTAATCGAATCCATCATAATCTGAGTTTGACATGTGGCTTATGATTTCTTGTTTAGATAACAGTCAATCGGAGGGTATATATGTCTTCCTAGATGCTGTGACTCAGAAAATTTGACACAGTTTGTTTTATAAAGATGTAGTGAAAGCTAAGAAGCTTTTTTCCGAAAATGTCATCTCTCCAGCAAAAGGTGATACTTCTAGTTCAAATGAAGCAAAAACAGACAACACCTTTTTTGTTTTCTGTCGAATTCACTGAAAAAGCAACGAAATAGTAATTTACAAAATAATGCGGAAATAATATATGCATGTCCATCCTGATAAATGGGTATCATTCTCAATTTAAGATCCTGTTAGAAAAATGGATGATATCAAGATAAAAAGTTTCTAACATCTTAGGTGCCACAAATTATTACCAGCAAGTTTATTTTTCCACGATGGCCAAGTTTATAAAGAAAATAAACTCTATTAGAATTATGGCAGAACATCCTAGCAGCAATTTAGCTGATTTAACGCCTATTGAGGCTGACCTTACCGCTTATGTTTGTTTTACTAGTCCGGAAATAGAAGAGAGTTGGAATTTGAAAACGGCTTCTTATATAAATATCAGAAAATTTAGATACTGAATCTGTAACATTGATACTATGATACCATGGAGATATTGCTACATGGTTGTTGTCATAATTAATAACAGCGGACGCATAAACATCCATGGAACTGCTTTTATGTCATATTCTTTCTATATCGAATCATTTATCACCAACAGACGAATATTCTCGAAACTCAAACATATCCGGTATATCAAGATTTCTACTTAAAAAGTGAAACTTCAGTGTAATAGTAGCTAGTGTTAGAACGATAAAGAAGTGCACTTACGAAGAATATTCATTATCACGAAATTTTAATGGCACGATATCGTCAGCGGCATCGATTTATTTGTTGGCAGCCGAATTGGATATCAAAATGTCTTGGAACAGTCACATTATTGAAATACCATAGACAGCATTTCGAAAATATGGAACACTATCATCAAGCCAAAGAACACTAATGTGCACTATTATGTGTGTGTACATGCTAATGTGTGTACAAAGTAAAGGCCTATTAAGGGTTGTCCATACTTGAACGACGTAAGCAATAGTAGTAGCCAACTCCTTCAGCTATGCCCTAAATTCACTTTCAAATTTCAATAATTTTTTTCTCTTATCTTTCGCCTATCGATGCTCAGCTTTGTCACAGACCGCAGTGGAAAACCTGTACGAACAGGGTTGGAGTTTCCTATCCATCTCATAGATGGCGACCATGAGTCCGACCATGTATTCGTGGTTCAGATTAGCATCACTGATCAAAGGCATGCCAAAACAGTGTTGTCTGGTATTTGGGCTCTAGTTACGTGAAGTGAAATTTACAGAGAAACATAGAAAGCGATTTATCATTCAGTGATCAATGCTTGGCTTCGCAACTGACCGCCGTGGGTTTCCTAGGTTGACATAGATAAACAAGATTTGATTTTCCTGTCGATACCACAGAATGCATCTTGGTAAGGACAGTTGTAAAAGAAGACTGTTCTTCCGTTAACTTGTGCGAACTAATGATTAACGAGGTTTTGCTTTCCAACGTGCGCTTCATAGCATGGATTGGACGATAGGAAGTGAAAATCGATCGTCCGCCCTTGCGTTTCGAACCAGCGGTTCACACAGCGGTCAATTGAGTGAGTGGAGCAAACCACCCACGCCAACCCAACCGGTTACCGTCCCATCATGTCTATGCCTTCTTATCTTCCTGAACCAGATTTCAATCAGTAGAAAGGGATCTGCCCTCCCTTGTAAGCGAGTCGGCAGCCTCAGTACCTTCTAGGCCAGTGTGGCCAGGAATCTAGAACTATCAAAGAGAGTTTTTTGTCCGTTCAATACCAACTCATAAAAATAATCGTATAATAGTGCTAAGTAAAGTCGAATAAACGGGCCCTCCATTCTTCCATAGCATATAATTTCATTTTTTTTATTTCATCTAAATATGATATTGATTTAATACCTCATGACCACGATGTATGATATAACTTGTTATCTAAGAACATCTTAGAACAGTCCTAGGACACTTGTTGATATTCACCATTTGATCACAGATATAATAATGTACTGTTTTTGTTGCAGGGCCGATTTGATGTCATCTTCATCAAGATAAAATAATTAAAGCATGGGAGTGGCAGAGGACTTCGCTCCCAGCTTCACGCAAAAGCCCCAGTTGAGGCAGGAGGATGATGGGAACAAACTTATATTCGAATGCCAGTTACTGGCAGCTCCGAAACCTGAAATACAGTGGTTTCGAAGTGATGTACCGTTGTCGGAAGACAGCAGGACGAACTTTAAAATACAATCGATAGGCACCAATAAATTCCTAGTAGTACTCGAACTAGATGATGTTATTGAAACCGATGCCGGCCTGTATAAGGTCAAAGCGAAAAACGCCATGGGGGAAGTTGCAGCGTCCATCAACCTCAACTTCAGCCGTAAGTACACCTTTTTTATTCAACTCAAAAGATATTACTCATGAAAGATGCAACAAAAAAAATAAAGAAGTTATTTGTCAGATAAACTATAATAGGGATTTATGAATGAACTGTTAGGTTAGGTTAGATTATTGGTAACTGGATCTATTAGACCCTCCATAGCAACCGCGACGGTTAATTGTTCACACTAATTCAACTCCATCAAAAAGAATGGAGTCGATCAGCCGTTTCATCAGACCTTTAAGACCTTTAAGTGGTTTGGCGAAATTTTTCGAAGAGTGTATAAATGACTCAGAATGGGCCCATTTTGGTAGATTTTGACATCAGTCTCAAACTCTTCTTGCTGTCCAGGTATTTAGTGTTTGTTTGGCAAAGCCTGAAGGGATACCAATTCCAGATTTTGGTCCTATAGAACCGTTTGCAGTTCTCTTCCTTGTAAGGGAGTGACTACCTCCGTTAACTTTCCAGGTCGGTGTGGCCAGAAATCCGGACGAGATATACAAGAGTTGCTCAGTGAAAGCCAAGTGCTTTCACAACTTTAGCCATCCGGGAATTTTTTTATTGATTTATGTATGAGGTTTGTTTCTGCCAGTCCCCCGTAGATTTCCACCTGAAACACGGTCGTATAGGACGCTAGGCAGGTTGATATTTCTGTTCCAGATCTGCGACTGAATACACCTGCACTGGGACATGGAAGTATTCTTGATCCATCTGTGATCCAAAAGATTTCTGCTCTTACTATTTTCTCCAGGAAAATCCCTAGTCTTCTCTACTCGAGATCAGTATTGCCTGAGACAGGTCGTAGTTGTTGGAGGAATTGAAAGGTGACAGGACAGAATATTTGAAAATTATAAAGGAGTCGTTATAAAATTTCTGCAAATTTTATTGGGGTCAATTACTTAATATATCGTTTTGTCTTCATTCTTTAACGAAGAAAGATGTCGTTATTGGTAACTTCTCATGATTTCTTGGACTTTGACGAGTGACACAATATAAAGAGGAAGACGTATCTTCATTAGGCACGCAGTCTCTAATGTGGAGCCATTACAGTCAGCATTTTCTCATCTGTCAACAATCAGCTGCATGAGTCAGCTGCATGATCAGCTTCAAAATGCATTTGAAGACACAGTATTCTCTATCTAGCATGCTTCACATTTGTTTATATTTGGGTTTCGATATCACATATACCAGATGATTACCCAATATTCCTTCTTCAATTTCACTCATTGACTTCATGCAGAAAATTTTAGCAGTGTTCCTACGAAAGTGATACAAGATGAAGCTGTTGGAGCTGTTTCTATATCTGAAACAGGTAGAGTAACATACAGCTCCCATTCACGATACATAAAAAATATTGGTTATTGTTTTTGTAAGTTTGTTTGGCGTTACTTTTTATTTAACTGACATGCCACAATACAGTAGCTTCACCAAAACCACGTGGATCTGAAAGAGTTCAGCCTTCCCTAGAGGTGTTTCAAAGTATTTCAAGCAATATTGTAAAATTATCAAACATACCAAACATATTTCCTTATTTGGTATGCTATTTATGCCCTTGCTGTTGAACCTATCCGAATAAGCTATCAGTTTCGCAAAGAAAGACTGTCTGAAATGAATAATGGTCTGAAGTTCTATAAATTGCCATCGCTTTAGCACCAATCAAAACTGAAGTCGAACAGACATGTGGATTGTTGGGTAACAATCTGTTACTTTTGGACCATGATTTTTTCAAATGTAAGATAGTATTTCCATGTCGCTAGTGAAATTTTTTGCAACATTCTTTTACCAGGACAATCTGGCCACTGTCAATTAGGGAAACACCTCCATAATATGGGGCTAGTGGACACACCTCTATGCAGGATGTGTGAACAGGAAGATGAGACTGTCAAGCATGTCCTATGCGAGTGCCCGGAGTTATCGTTAATAAGAGAGTGTGTATTCGGCGAATCTTGGCCTACACCTGCCGATATAAAGGAGATGTCTCCAAGTGACAAGTGACTGTCCACTTCCCTGAAAAGGACAGGATGGACCATAACCTAGGAGGACAACTCCTCGGGAGGATGTATAATGGGTCACATGTAGCCTAAGTGCAGTGGGTTTACACTCCCCCTCCCTACTGTACAGATACAGATACCAGGACATTCTCCAGATTCAAACCTGATCGAATTCACATTTATTTCTGAAAATACGTGTTATGTGAGGAAATACCAATATTAATAATAGTGAGCTGTTCATGTATTTCTATTTGCCAATCAGAGTGATGATAATTTCCAATTGAACATCAAAAAAGGACACTCCAGATACCAGTATCTATTTTTCAATGGATTGCTTGATGGATCATCTAGTACAATATATTTGAAGGAAGATACACATATTTTGAAAACTCAGTATAGAAGTAGGAAATCAAATCTATTGTATGTTAAAACAACTTTTACAACTGTTTGCAAATCAAAATTGTGCATGAACACATGTTTCAAGGATCACAGAGTCTAGTGTTTTTGAATGTTATGAAATAACAATGTAAATAGCCTTCTGATGTTTCATTTANTTTCATATAAATCCTTTGTAGCTCATATTAACGAACACATGAAAAGTACCTCATTTCATTGCAATTTACTTGGTAATTATATTGCTGAATATTTTGTGGCGTTCCTCAAGTCAACAAAAAAGTCTTAGGACTGATAAAAAATACAGATTATGGTCAAATCATGGATAAATTCTTAAGTGACAAATCAATATCATACACTTTCGATATTGTCTTTCGAAATTGACATCTTTATTTAGAAGCTTTCAATATATTCTTGCTCAACTACGATGAATGTTTAATGTTTATTTCTCCTGGATGGTTACAAACTATTGAAGGAAACAGAGTCCGGGCTAGTAGGTCGTGGTCGAATAGTACAAAACGTTTCGTCTGTTACTGCGGCAGTATTATTTGCGTTAACGAAACGTTTCTTACAAGTTCCATTCAAGCACGGTCTGTCAGCCCAGATTTTGTTCTCTTCAATCGTGACTCCGGTCATGAAAGCCTATATTCATATTGTTCCACACTAGTCAGGTCTAATTATAATATTTTCTTCTTCAGACAAATAGATGGCCTTGCACCTACTTTTGCGAAGAAGCCTGCTATTCGACAAGAAGAAGACGGTAAAAGACTACTTTTTGAATGTCGAATACAGGCCGATCCCCGTCCAGTCGTTAGTTGGTTCCATAATGGCAACCCTGTTTCAGAAGGACCACGTCATAAGGTAAAGTATTGAAAATAACCAAATCCTTCGCGAACAAAATACCGTGTGAAACATTGAAGAAGCAGAATCACCATACGAAACTTAAAGGCAAGATTGGAAATTCATAACTTGTGAAGAAACAACGGAATGCCTTAAAAGGTCACAAGTAACATTTTCTGATTAGCTAAAGTAGACCATATTTTACTAGTTTGAAAAATTGAGTTTCCGTTTCAATCAAAGACGTGAAATTTCACACTCTATATCAAAATTGTTAACAGGTTATATTTAAAAAAAATCATTTTCGAAATCATGGAAAAAAACAACAGTTGTGTTTGTTGTTAATGGAGTGTGGACGAATAACACGTGTGAAAAGATCAAACCCAATATCTTGAAAACTAATCAATGTCTCTCATATTATACTAAGAATAAAGATGTATGAAACAGAGCCAAAAAAGACATAATATAGCCATATGGATATACTTCTGACTATGCTAAAAAAAGTAATGGATGTGATAATCGTAACACAGTTTCTGATCCTGACGAGATATGCATCATCATATTTTAAATAACTGGTAATAAAGTAGTATCGGAATTCTCAAATTGTCAACTTTTGTCTTTTCATATAGCGAAAGAAAACCAGGTTGAAAGTGTTTTGAGAATTTACAGTCAAAATTCTATGGCAAACCGTTTTTTAACAACTTTCATATCATTTTGAAGAATTTCCTTGAAGTTCTTACAACCTTGTGATCCAAAAAGGATTGTGGTATTGTCAGCAAAGTTAATTACTTACCCAGATATTTTTATATTGAGAAGATCATTGATGTAGAGGCTGATCAGCGGAGGACCAAAGACGGTACCCTGCGGGACGTCATATTCGGAAATCCGTTCGTGACTCAAACATCCTTTCGCCATTGCATATTGCCTTCTGATGTTTCATTTATTTTAATGTATTACCCATCAATGAATTTGTGTTGTTTCAATTTTCCAGTTTATTATTTTTACCTCACTCTTTTTCTTTTATAGATACATTACAGTTCTTTAGTTTTCATATTATATTTGCAAATAGGAAATTGAATATTTAATTTTTTATTATGGCTTTCGATACTCCACATTTCAGATGAGATTTGATAGACAGAAATTTGGACATATTATTGTGGATTCAGTAATTTAGATTTAAAATGATTTTCTTGTGCAGTCAATCACGTTTTTATCATTATTTATTCAACAAGCCATTCTGGAAAGTTGAATTTGATAATTTGTCATGTCAATGAACATGACTTCACAACTTCATTATTCCTTAATCTGAAAAAAATTACATGTGAGACTATTGAGCATTCTAAGAGAATCCTGATCAATTGAAAAGTTAAAACTTTGGTTTGCTTTCATTTTAAAACATTCCAAAATATTATACACTTTTTTATTGTGAAGGGTGCGGTCCCTTGATAAGTACGTACATTCTGACTAATTTAAAATCATTTTAAATGACAGTATTTTACCAGTTTAAAAGCATAAACTGATATATATTTTTTTCACTTTCAGCCATGGACGAACCGAAAGAAAAGTAAGTATATAGAATATTATTTGTCTAGTTAATCAATGAATAATCAATGAATTATTAATGAATACACAAAAATATGTAATATGAAAATCATGCACGAATTCTGTATTGATAACTGTGAGGAATGTATCCTACCAAGTACTTTGAATAAATGGGGGCATTAACCATAATAAGACATATCTAGGGGTTGTCTGATGATACAAATAAGGCAGCAAGATCAAGCATTCTGATTGTTCAGACGTTAAAGTGGCTCTTTGTTTTTTTTTCAGAAATAGACCACTTGATTTTTTTTAGAATAAAACACAAGCACTACAGGAAAATCCTTCAGGCGCTCTAACAGCGGTTCCTGTTCGAAAGTATTAATTCACGTTGGATTTGAATCGCTAGAGATTAAATGTTCTCAGGAAGTTCATTCCACAGTCAGCCACAGTCCGTCGCGTATTTCTGATATGTACCGCTCTTGGTGGAATCAAATGTGCCAAGTCACTGGAACACCTCCCATGAAAATATCTATAAAAGAGAAACAAATCTCCAACTTTTCTTCGATGTTTCAGACTATCAAGGTTACAAGTGATGTTCGTGCCAGGCGGATGGCTATTTTCTGGATGGAATTAAGATATGCAACCTCCTGCTCCTGATCAGAAATTGAGACTCTCAGCGAAATGACATCAGCAGTCATTTAAAAAAAGCACACATGAAAATGAAGTCATTTCATAAGTTTCAGATCAAATTTATACACTTTTGAGAATATTTTTCATATAGCTTCTAAAATTTGAAAAATGGAGTGCCAGGATCACTCCAATGCCTTTTTAACGTTTAAGAATGCTGTCCTTTCCATTTCAAAACCTACTTTTTTATTCAAAATCGTCCAGATTCGAATCGTTTCGATTTAATACTGCTAGATTATTATATTCAGTTACTGATTTTCTTTCATATAAATCCTTTGTAGCTCATATTAACGAACACATGAAAAGTACCTCATTTCATTGCAATTTACTTGGTAATTATATTGCTGAATATTTTGTGGCGTTCCTCAAGTCAACAAAAAAGTCTTAGGACTGATAAAAAATACAGATTATGGTCAAATCATGGATAAATTCTTAAGTGACAAATCAATATCATACACTTTCGATATTGTCTTTCGAAATTGACATCTTTATTTAGAAGCTTTCAATATATTCTTGCTCAACTACGATGAATGTTTAATGTTTATTTCTCCTGGATGGTTACAAACTATTGAAGGAAACAGAGTCCGGGCTAGTAGGTCGTGGTCGANTTATACAAAAAACACTTTTCTCTACTCAGTTTGTATTCCAAACATTTGTTATGGAATCGAATCAGATATCATTAACAGGATTCCTACACAATATTAAAAATTTCACTTACATGGAACACCGTCATCCTCACTGGTAGACATCGATGTTTCGTCGTGAGACACTTGCCTTAGGCTCTTCAGTACCAATCTGGATAATAACATAAAAAAAAACACACACTTCATTCATAAATTACGATTTTTATGTCACAGAATAAGTTTGACCTACTTATGTCATCGATGACATCGTAATGACATTCTCAGCCTTCTGGTTGGGATTTAATCAAATACGTGAATGAATGTCATTACAATGCCATCGATGACATAAGTAGATCAAACTTATTCCATGACATAAAAAATCGTAATTCATAAATGAATTGTGTGGTTTTTTCTTATAATGTTATCCAGGTACTGAAGAGCCCTAAGGCATCGAAACATCGATGTCTACCAGTGAGGATGACAGTGTTCCATGTAAGTGAAATTTTTACTTATCATTTAGTATACTGTGTAGAAATCCTGTGAATGGTATCTGATTCAATTCCATAACAAATGTTTGGAATACAAACCCAGTAGAGAAAAGTGTTTTTTGTATAATTCAATGTTAATTTAAAAGTATTTGTTTCGAAAGGGCTTTTTTTTTAGTTTGTGCTCAGACATCAACTGCTAAAGTAATAGCGATGAAAAATGGAACACTTGGTATACTTATCGCAAATCTAGCAGCTGGCGACCATCTTATTGTTTTCTTTGGATTGAATAAGTTGAAAAATTGTGAAGATCCCATCTGGGAATCGAGCCAACCATAAAAACCGACGATTTGCATATTTTTATCTATTTTGTGGTACAGCGAAGCTGTTTATACAAAGTTATTTTCGGATACTTTGAAAAGAGGCCAGATACTTTCGTAATCGAATTTTGTAGATGAAATAATTCACTTCACTAAATGACATATCACACTATATTAAATCATTCGTGAAAATTCACCAGAATGTTACTATCTTGGCAACGATATTGGTCATAAAATTATGTTTCTATATTATTCTGGAAGAGCACTTTTTAAGTTTACTCGATCCGCACTTTCCTCTCAAATTAACAGTTACTCAAATAATAATAATAATATTTGGGAAGGCTCAGGAACTTTTCGAAATATTTTAGGTAAAAACCCAAAAGATGTTTGAAAGTACCTAGTCCAACATCTGTATCTGTAGAGTAGGGAGGGTGAGTGTGAGCCCACGCACTTAGGCCACATGTGACCCATTGTACATCCTCCCGAGGAGTTGTCCTCCTAGGTCGTCGTCCATCCTGTCCTTTCCAGGAAGGTGCACAGGTCGCTGGGAGATATCTCCTTTATATTGGCAGGTGTAGGCCAAGACTCGCCGAACACACACTCTCTTATTGACGATAACTCCGGGCACTCGCACAGGACATGCCTGACAGTCTCATCTTCCTGTTCACACATCCTGCATAGAGGTGTGTCCACTAGCCCCATATTATGTAGGTGTTTCCTTNTTGAACGACATATGTTAGAAACATAAATTCTTTTTCTATCCTGGGTAAGCAGATACCCGGTTCAAAAACTATATCAGTTGATTTTGTAAATATTTCATTCCCATCTGCAAATAATCTGCTTTATTGATGAAGATGCTCAAACTATTAGAGAGCCTTGGGTAGCCTCGTTTCAATCAATCAATCAATCAAAATATGCTTTAATATCAAAGAATAATATCTGATAAAAGTATAAAAATAGTCACTACCATAATATAAAATTGAATTAAATAAAAACAGTCACTTATTTGAAATTCAAAATATAACAAACGATAGAAGGTGTGTAGTGTATAGAAAGTGTATAGTTTTAATTTACTTATCATTCTATTCTATCCACATAATATTCTTCCAAACTATAATAGGTTCAATCGGAAAGAACTGTTTTTACTGCTTTTCTGAAGCGGGCGTTGGACGATATATCTTTAATACTATTTGGAAGGCGATTGTACATTTTGCAGCCGTTGAATAAAATTGAATCCTTAACGAGAGGAAGATGGTAATATGGTAGTTTGAGATGGTTACTTTGACGAGTGGGGTATCTATTCCCTGTAATGAAATTTTGTTTGTGTTTATGAGACACACTGTTTCAAGTATAAATATAGACACTACCGTGAGTGTGTTGTGTTGCTTGAAGTGAAATCTGCACGAATGGCGCGTTAGTCAGGGAAGCTATAGATTACGCTGTAGACGACCCCTCCCGATATAGAAGGCCCCGACACTCTGTCGAATGAGGCCCCTATGTCCTCCGTTAACAGATGAATAATATCTTCATCCATCTCACCCCAGCCAGGTAGGGGTATACAGCGAAGGGCGGTATGGATGTCTGAGGACTTTCATGCCACCATCAAACACCAGTCATAACCCGTTTGTCTTTCTGACAAACACCAGTTAAAAGGGGAAGGGAGCCAGGCTTCAACCTGAATAAACTCAAGATGGATTACGACGAATGGCGAAATTTTAGTTTACAGAGGTATCTTAGGACTCTCTTTTGTAAGACAAAAACACTTTGAAAAACATTGCCACTGCTCAATCCCCAGAATGGGATACCGTATCGCAAATGTGACTCTGTAAAGGAGTAGTATACCTACTGTCTTTGCGGTTGGGTATCCTAGTTCGTTTGCAGTAATTTTCACAGCATAACAACCAGAGGACAATTTTTTGTTCAAGTTTTTGACATGTTCATTGAATGTGAGACCGTTATCGACGTATAGTCCTAGAAATGTAGAAAAAACACTGTTTTCAATAATCTGGGTGGTTTGAAGAAATATCAGCAACTGCACATTTGAAGGACACTATCGTAGTTTTCAATATGTTGAAGGATAAAAGGTTTGAGTCGCACCACTATTTGACCTTTATTATATCTGAACTAATGATATGATGAAGATCAGCTTGCTCATCATTATGCCATAGTATGGTGGTATCATCGGTGAAGAGGGTGACATTTCCTGTAATGTCAAGCGTCATCAGGTCATTAACATATAGTAAAAACAAAATTGGATCCAAGACTGATCCTTGCGTAACAGCACATTGTATATTACCTAAACATGTGATTGATTTTGTCTTAACTACTGCGGCAGAGAAATATGCCATGAACCATGAATGTGCTTTATTTCAAAATCCGTAACGATGAAGCTTCCGCAGCAGTATCTCATGATTCACGCAGTCAAAAGCCTTCGATAAATCACAAAATACAGCCGTGGCAACTCCTCCATCATTGATCCCAGTACACAGTTCATATAACAGTGAAAATATTGCATCATTTGTGTTCTTATTGCACTGAAATTCAAATTGTTTGATGTTTAATTATCACACGCCTGCAAAAAGTCAAAGTTTCTGCACTTAACGAGTCTTTCGATGATTTTTTATACTTATAAATGCGAAAGTCACTCACTTAACACTCACTTATTCATCTCTGTTTCCTCGTGCTGGTGAGTGTTAGGAAGCTCAAATTTGGTATAAAGATGCTTCTTAGGTCTTAGATCCGCATTAAGAAAGGATTTTGAAATATTTCCACTGGGGCGCCACCCGTGGGGGTAAAAGGGGTGCGTTTACATATGAAAATTACCTTTTCATCATTGTTTCTCCTTACTGCTATATTTTTGGAGGCTGAAATTTTTTATTTAGGTTCGTTTTATGTTGTAGATGTGGAATAAGAAAGGATTTTCAAATATTCCAACTGGGGAGCCTCCATTGGGGATGAAAGGGGCATCCATTAAACAAAAACTTGTCTTTTTGTAACTATTTCTCCATGCCCTTAAATTTCCGGTGGGTGAATTTATATTTGGCATCAGCATTGCATCCGTGCGAAGCCGAGGCAGGTCGCTAGCCCTCAATGTTCGGGAAGTGAGTCTCCTGATGGCGTCTTCATTGGTGGAGATGCCATCACCTCCTTAGGTGACGTGTCTTCGTACATTATCCTCAACAATGCGAAAACGTCTGAACAACACAATGAACCCTGTCAAAAAAACCTAACTCAGTAGTTTTTTGAATGATCTACAATATTGTCATCTCACTCTTTTTCTGTGGATGATTTTTTTCTACACCCCGATACCTTGGGAAAATTACTTGTATCAATCAGTGAAATCTCCACTATATCTATTAAATCATTGCAGCACTCTACATTCAGTGATTAATTTCAATAGTGCCTCAGATGGTAACGTCAATCGACATTATTATAACTAGTTTCAAACGCATCCTATTCAACGTTAGAATGTGTAGAGTTACTTGAGGACCCAACCTCTTACCTGTGTTTCTTGCTGTTTTTAACTACATGGACTGAAAAATATCGGGCTCAACACATATATGGCGCTAGTTAGTACTAACTAACAATTAGTACTAACCTTCAAAAGAAAGCTGGTCGTAGAGACACCGATGATGCAGAACGCAGTGGACGTTCAAACGGGGCAGTAACACCTGAAAACATAAAAAAATACACAAAATCGTTTTGAATAATCGAAGAGTGAGTTGCGTGAGTTAGCTGATATTGTAAAGGTATCAAAAGAACGTGCTGGCTTTATATTGCATGAACATGTGACTATGAGAAAGCTCTGTTCAAAGTGGATGCCGCGCGAGCTCACTGTTGACCAAAAACAAAACCGTCTTGATGATTCTGAGTAGTGTTTGGCCATGTTTAAACGCATAACAAACCCGAATTTTTGCGTCGATATGTGACAATGGACTAAACATGGATCCATCACTTCACTCCGGAGATCAATATGATGGTCATCTGAGTGGAGAGCAAATGGTAAACCTTGTCTAAATGGCATGAAAGCACAACAATCGGCTGGCCTTGGTATTTTGGGATGTGCATGGTGTAATATTCATCGACTATCTTGAGAAGGAAAATACCATCAGCAGTGAATATTATATAGCGTTATTGGAGCGTTTGAAGGCCGAAATTGTGAAAAAACCATCCCATTTGAAGAAAAAGAAAGTGCTGCTCCATCAAGACAATGCACATTGTCACATATCAATGAAAACGATGGCAAAATTGCATGAAATGGGCTTCGAATTGCTCCTGCATATACCATATTCGCCAGATTTGGCACCCAGCGACTACTGGCTGTTCACAGACCTCAAAAAAATGCTCATCGGTAAGATGTAGAGGTTATTGCTAAAACTGAGGCCAATTTTGAGGCAAAAGATAAATCGCTCTGCAAAATTGGTATTGAAATATTGGAGTGGTGCTGAAATGATTGTTTGGCTCTTGATGGAGATAACGTTGATGAATAGAGCCAGTTTAAAAAAACGTTTAGGCTCGGAACAGGTGTTAGGTTATTCAACCTTCTACGTCTGAAAAATAAACGAACCTGAATCAGTTGAGAATCTACGGGAGCGCAGAAGGGATACATATTTTTATTATTTGTTTCTTGGAAATTACTCGAAACTCGAAATTTCGACTTTAATCTCGAAATTTCGACTTTAATCCCAAAATTTCGACTTTAAACTCGAAATTTCGAGATTCAAAGTCGTAATTTCCAAGAAACAAATGATAAAAATATGTGACCCTTCTGCGCTTCCGTAAGAATCTGCTTAAGTTTTGCTGAAAAGTTCATCCCGAAAAATTGCTGTGAAATATAACCCACTGAAGTAAATTTTGACTACAAGTTGAATAATCTATGAAGAAAAAATAAAACTTATATACATATTTTTCTTCAAATGGTTCCGTTTTCAAACCCCAAAAAATTCACTTAGAAAAACACCTCAAAAGTAAACAGGTATATTTCTTCCGACAACGACAACAGAAAGGGATTAGGTACTTTCTGAAACGTTTACCATCTAAAGAAAGCAAAGAATATAAATTTCATTTTTCTATAGATTTTTCAATTTGCAGGCAGAACGTAGGAGTTATAAATTAATTGTATTATTCAGTGGTTTCTATTACGCAGTAACTTTTTGGGGTGAACCTTTCATGTTTCCCTTTTTTATACTTCAGCAAATTTTCCATTAATTCATCCTCATTTATTTTTCAGATTATGGAAGGGAATACTTAAAAAATATCAAGAAACATTGACTTCTCCACACTTTTCCTTTTTCCAGTATTATATTTTCTTACATTCATTTCTCTTATTATATTATTTGAATGGGTGATGAAAACACATGTGTATTGCTATGTCTGATTAGAAACACACATTTTTTTCCATAGATACACAATATATTCATTTCTCATTTATACCACCACTGTGTTTCCTGGTTCATAGACATGCGCATCGTATTCAAACTCCAACACGGTATACAGACCGTCCCATATAAGTAACTATTATATTACAATCATATAAATCTACAGTTCGAAGTACATTTTCATTGTGAAAGTAAATAACACGGGTGGTTCTGCTTCTGCCTTCCATTCATGGGTAAATTATAAACTGAAACAATCTTCTGGTGTATTATAAGAATGTTTTTACAAGAAATTGATGGATGTAGCCGTTACTACGTGGTAGGAAATCATAATTAAGAAAATATAATCAAAACTTTCTATGTTTTTTTAGCACTTTTATTTGTAACTAACGTTGCTGCAGTTTCGTTGAAAATATCCTTATAGGACAAAACTGCAGTAACGTTAGTTACTGCAGTTTTGTAACTTGGAAAGTTTAAATTCTCTTTTCTTCATTTCTACAAGAATCTTTAGAATTTTTGAACGACATATGTTAGAAACAGTAACATCTGGTAAGTGAACAATGTGAATTTCAGTTGAGGATAGACAAAGATGGACACTCGTACTTTTCAACCCTCGAAATCAAAAATGTCACGGTAGAGGATGCTGGCAAATATAAAGTAACAGCAAAAAATGATTTGGGGGAAAGTAACGCAACAATCAGCCTTAACTTTGACAGTAAGTTCCTTGTGCTTCTTGTGTTTGCTTTGTGTGTCCTTTTGTCAGCAATTATACCCTTTAAGATAAGTTTTATGTTTAAAGTTGTTGCAATATTGCGAAATAACCCTAGTGTTTACTAGAGGAAGCTTGGCTCTAACAAGTATAGATTAGAGCAAAGTTGCAGCAGTCGAATATCTGTTATTTCTCAAATGCATTTCCCGCCATTGCGACTACATATCCTCCACAACACAAACAGAATCCCTCATATACACACCGTTCTGAAAAACTTTTTCCCAATACTCCAGAAACAGCAAGTACCTGTAGCAGGTAACGGACAAGTAAGTCAGCACTCGTGCACAGTACAATGGACTAACCGATGCTTAATCTCAGCTCAGCTTTTAATATGCAGTTTTAACAATTCATTTCTAATAAGTGTACATTAAAATATCAAGACTCGTTTTGTGTGAATTTAAGCTTACAATAGATAGAAATCATAACTTTTCGCAAACCATCGCTAAGGCGATATTTGGCAGACACAGAGTGGCTGAATTGTACGTTTCAGATGATTAAGACGAATAGTGAGGAACCCACAACCCGCAACATCAACACTTGTTTTTTTAACATTTAATACGATTCCAAAGGCCATGTTCTTGCAAATGTGACACTTTTCTTTCAGAGTTGTACCACACAATATCTCACTTAACACTGTTTAATGATTAAAAGCTGAGCTTTTTCTTTTTCGGTAAGCATTGTAAGTTGCGCGAGTGTTGCTGGCTGTCCTGTGTCTTGATAGCCAGTTTAGGAGAGTTTCTGCACTAGGCGATGAAGCACCGGTTCCTGAGAAGGAGGGCATCAAGCCAACTTTCACGGAGCGGCCAGTCATCAGGCAGACTGACGATGGCGCGAAGATCACCTTCGAATGTCGCTGCGTCGGAGATCCTAAACCAGAAATCCAATGGTACGTATGAAATGTAGCATCCCTAACAAACCACTCATGCCCTTCATTCAGGTTCCACGGCAAAGAGGAAATCAAGCAGAACAGCAGGTACACCATCTCGCTAGAAACGGATCAAACGCTCTACTATTTGGCACGACTCGAAATTTTCAACGTCAAGAAAAACGACCGCGGGGAATACCGCGCTGTGGCTAAGAACAGATACGGGCAAGGTGTGGCGACCATCAACCTCAATTTCGAGGGTACAGAGAAACCTAAGTAAGATTATTTGACCTCACAATCACTGTACGTCTAAGGGGGTTGTTTTTCGCAGAATTCCCGACGGAAAAGCGCCTAGGTTCCCCAAGAAGCCCACTATCAGGCAGGAGGGAGACGTTCTCATTATGGAATGTCTTCTGGAAGCTCATCCGGACCCAGACATAACTTGGTTCCAGAGCGAAAAAAGCATCGCGGACAGTCCGCGGGTCCGCATGCTGAGAAAAACCACGAGCAAAGACATTTATCTTCTTACTTTAGAAATCGCGAACCCAACCCGTGAAGACGGCGGGCATTACAGATGCAATGCGTTCAATGAATTCGGTGAAAGCAACGCTAATATCGCGTTGAACTTCCAAGGTATGCTGGGCAGAAAAGCGATCCCAAAGTCTATATATCTGTATTCTGTGTCTGTGAAACGTCTCAATTCCGTAACTTATTTCCACTTTGTTACAGTGCCGTCTTGCCAACCAACACTCTTTCTACGACCTGTGTTATTGTCATTTTGCATGAGCATGGCCTTTGAATCGATGCCAGTCTCTAGCAGATTCGTAACTTGTTTGTGTTGCAGGTGGGGACAGTGCGGATGGTTTTGCACCTTCCTTCATCGAGAAACCTAAAATTATTCCTAACGAGAGTGGCACTCTCATTGCTATGAAATGCAAGTGCAAAGCTAAGCCCAAGCCAGATGTTACTTGGTTCCGCGGAACCAGTATCGTAAAAGAATCGTCGAAAATTAGAATGAAAGTCGTTGAACTCGAAGAAGATAAATACGAATTGACTCTTGAAATCAATGTAAGTACAATAACTTTTATTGTAATTATAATTATCTCTATTAACCATTTCCACGACCGAAAAGAAGCTTTGATAACCACTTTTAAAAGTTCAATAGCAACAATCAGAAACACGTGATTCACGTGACAGATACAGTTCATTTGCTATAGATGAAAGAATACTAAGTTAATGGAACTGACCTGGACCTCTGGCGTGAAATGAATGCGTTTCGCTAACCGAGTTTCCATCATCAGGATATGAATAATGATTTTTTTAGTCATTGACTCGGAAGCATCACTCACAAGTATCGATCATCCAATCAAAATAAATTGTATTGTCCACGATACAATTTAACTGATAGTTTTTGTATACAAATTTAAAGTAATCTAGTGGAATATAACAAAGACTCTTACGAAAAATAAGAATTAAAAACTTTCTATGTTTTTTCATCACTTTTATTTGTAATCAAACTGCAGTTTCGTCCAATAAGGACAGTTTCAAACAATTAAATTAAACTGAGAATAAATCATAGAATAGAATAGAATAGAATATTTATTTACCAATATTTGATACAATAGTGTATATTTGGCACGTCACTTAAATATCACACACAAATAAATATCACAAATGTCACAAATAAATGTAGAGTCATGTAACAAAATGAATAAAAACTGAATCATCACATTTACACACATGAACATATTTACAAATATGATTGTATAATATAACTTATACTTGTCAATTTCACAAAAAAACAGGTGTATATGAGACAAAACAAAATATTTGTCAGGTGTATATGGAATAAAACAAAATACTTACACTACACAAAAAGTTTACACAATGAGGAAATAATTTAGATTCCTCATTCCTCCTATTTTCCCTTTGACAGGTCATTTAATTCTATTTATAAACTCATCTATACTATAAAAAGCATTCAGCATCAAATATTTTTTTATTTCATTTTTAAATGAAGATAACGCCATTTCTTTCATAGGCTGAGGAACACAGTTATACAAAATAATACAGTTATAGTATAGAGAGTTTTTGAATGTAGCTGTTTTATGCCCAGGTATCGACAATAATTTTTTATGTCGTGTATCGTACATGTGCCTTTCCGCAGAGGTATTGAAAGAGAGTATATTAGTTTTCGCGTACACCAGACATTTATAGATGTAAACATACATTCACTGTAGGTAATAATAAAGGTACTTAACTTAATTGAGTACCTTTAAGGATTCCATATAATTGAATTGAATAAATCAATTGAATTGAAGAGATGCAATAAAAATGTACCTATCGTTAATAAAATCTGTATTTATCATACTCAAATAAAGTATATTCATTTATTTGTTTGAAAATAGGAAATCCTAATATGAATACAGATCCAAAAAGGTAAAAGGTTCTGTATATTGTTATTTTTGAAAACATGGAAACTTCCGATGAAATCCTGGAGAAAAAAAAATAGTTTTTTTGATATCTTCTTATAAATATAGTCACCGTGTGTGACTCATCCAACACGAATCCTAAATACTTGAATTCTGACACCCATTCAATTTTGTCTCCCTCCACTTCGAGTTGGAGCTTTTCATAGTCAATTGATTTCAGTTTATGTTCCTTACCAATTATCATTGATTTGGTTTTATTCGTATTGATTTTAAGTGTATTTTCGTTTAAATATATTTCAATTTTTTTCAACAATCGATTCATGCGCTCCACTGTTTCTACAACGTCATGTCCATAGCATGCAAGTAACGTGTCATCTGCAAATAAATTCAAAAAATCATAACCTTGTATATAATTTACCTCATTCAGGTAAATTATAAACAGCAGTGGTCCCAAGACACTCCCTTGAGGTACGCCTATATTGTTTGAAATTTCTTTTGAGAAACATTTCCCCACCTTAGTTATTTGTGACCTGCCATTGAGATAATTTTTGAACCAACTCAAGGCTATTCCATCGATTCCATAATATCTCAGTTTACGAAGTAATATTTGCGTATCGATAGTTAAAAATAAATAAGGAACACTGCTACTATAAATGTATCGCTATCGATTTCATTTTTCCATTTTGAAACTGTTAATTGAAGGGCAGTTCACACAAGTGGTGTTCTCTGGATTGATTTCCTATAAACAGGTTATTTTCAGTAAAGTACCTAGTAATTTGTTCATGTACAACAATTTCCAAAACTTTCTCAATAATCGGAAATGTATTTATTGCTCTGGAGTCTGACATTTCAACTGCATTATTTATTTTTGGGATGGGAGTAACTGTACTTTTTTTCAACATATTTGGAAAGTTACCGGACGACATTGATGTTTATATTAAGTTTAGGAGATGAAATCCAAGTGTAAAAAAATGTTGATTTCAAAAATGTAGCAGACATTACTTCTTCAGCATTGCCTTTATTTTTGAGAGAAAAAATAATTGACTTCAGCTTACTTATATCAATCTTCTTGAATTCAACAAATGAAATACGTTAGTTATGGATTTTCATCAAGTATCGGCCAATTCAATCATATATCTCGAATATAGTATTAACCTCAAATAATTATTTCACTAAAAAAATATAACTACATATCATTTGATCTAATTGATAATAAATGTGAATGACATTAACAAAATGTTTATACTAGATATACAATAGTCCAATTGGTTGTAAAGGTGTTTGGATACCTCTTTAGTATTGTACCTAAAAAAAAGAATATGAAAAGAAATTTGAGTAGATCAGCAATAAATAACTACCATATAAGGGTGGATAGAAAAAAATAAGTCTATTCCAATGGCAATGTGTTACATATTTTTTGAACCATTTAAATAATTTAAGTTGAAAAAATCAACAGATCGATTGAACCATGTGTACATATTCAAAAACATTAACAGTAAAAAAGTTGAGTGTGCTTCACACATAATTTTAATGGGAAGTTATGTTATCGATATGAGGTGGAAGAACAGTTCAGTTGTTGAATTTATTCAGGATCTGAACTGAGCTTTGCTCATCATTTTCAAAAATATTCTGTCAATATATATTTCCTCAACCTGTTTTTTTTTTTTAAATAATAAAAACGATTATTATTATTATCGTAGTATGCGCTGATCAGAGCCTATCCTCCGAAGCCCCGATACATTCGGGAGGGCGCGCCAGCATTATCAACCAATTACCACTCCCCACACCGTGGGTTGAGTGATCATTGGGTCCGAGAATCATGTGCCCTAAGCAAGCGCAGTGAGCCAAGAACGACAGCCTTCTGCATCTGTCCGGCTAAGATTTCTGCCTTAATGCGGCAAGCCAGTATGATTTTGAGAATCGAGAGTAGAGAGGACATCATTCCACCAAGGACTCCAATAATCAGAACAACCATCTTGACAAAGTAGTCAGGATGGAGTCTGTGGAGTTCAAAGAGGAAATCTCGATATTTCATCCGTTTTTCCTCCTCTTTTCGGACGATATTCGTCTCGCCACGAGCTGAAAACTCCACGGCAAATATCGTCTTGCTCTTGTGGTCGAGAAGGACCACATCAGACGTATTGGCTTGTGTGAGCCTGAGGGTGGGAAACGAATAGTTCCAATAAATTCGGCACTTCTCGTTCCGCACAACGGATTCAATATCCTCCGGAGCCTAGAGCCGTATTATTATTTTTATTATTTACCATGGTTTTTGCTATTAAGCAATAGTAGTTTCAAGTATATTTAGGTCACTTGTAAATGACTGAAATAGGGCAATGTTAAACATGAAAAACTACGACATTGACGTTGATTTCTTAAGAATAACAGTTTTTAAGAATGGCTATCAATGAATGGACCAAATTTAAGATAATGAGTTTTGTTTCGTAGTTCCATATTTATTGTTTTTCAGGATCCTGGTGCAGCTGATGGTGGTACATACAGATGCCACGTAAAGAACGAATATGGTGAAAGTAACGCGAATCTCAACTTAAATATCGAAGCCGAACCAGAGCCAGAAGGTGATGGACCAACGTTTGTCGAAAAACCGAGAATAACATCACACGAAGGCGGTAAACTGGTTATCATGGAATGCAAAGTTCATGCTGATCCTAAGCCAGACATTGTGTGGTTCAGGGAAAACAAAAAAGTTATTGAATCGTCAAAGATCGTGATAAGTGTTAAAGAGGTTGAAGAAAGTATCTATTACATCAAGCTCGAATTGAAAGATCCCGGGACAGAGGATTCTGGGTTGTACAAATGTAACATCAAAAACACACTTGGTGAACTCAATGCTAACCTCACACTGAATATTGAAATTATTCCTGTTATAAAGGAAAAACCAAGAGTTATTAAGATTATAAAGAAAAAGACTGTTATTGTAGAATGTAAAGTTCTTAGCAAATTCGCACCAGATTGTACCTGGTATAAGGAATCTAACCCTGTTAAAGAAGATACAAGACATACTTATCACGTAGAACAAGTCAAAGATGTAAGTACTGAAATGGCTCGACTGACACAAAGTATTCACAAATTAATTCTATAGGGCGAATTCGCTATCAAACTGGAAATAAACGATGTACAGAAGGTAGATAAAGGTATGTATAAATTAGTAGCCAAAAACGAAAAGGGTGAAGCTACTTCACAAACTGTCGAGGTTACCGAGTTGCCTCCAGAAGAAAAACCCAAAGGTGAAAAGCCAAAACTCACGAAGTTAACAAACATAGTAAGTGAAACAAACCTCACATCAAAAAAAAAAATTCAAACTGTTCAATTTTAGATCACAGAAGAAGGAAAATCTGTGGATTTCATCACTTCGCTGAAAATAGAAGACAAAACTGTCAAGATAACTTGGTACAAAAATACTACAATAATCAGAGAATCCTCCGAAATTAAAATTTCTTTTGATGGTACAGTAACGCGACTCAGTATTAGCAAATGCAAAACATCACATTCCGCCACGTATAAATGTGTCGCTAAAAACGAATTCGGTGAAGACGAAACATCTGCAGTTCTGACTGTTAAGGAGAGGAGGGAAGAATCTGAGGAAGAGGAGGAAGAAGAAGAAGAAGAGGTTAGTAGTTAGCGGAGTCTACTAGATTATAGTGTGATTCACGGGTGGTCATTGATCATAGTGAAAAACATAATTGATTTGCAGGAAATCATTGAGGAAAAGAAAGAAGAGAAGAAAGAGGAGAAAAAAATAGAGAAGAAAGAGGAGAAAAAAATAGAGAAGAAGGTGGAAAAAAAAGAAGAGAAAAAAGAGGAACTCATCATCAAGGTAAATTACTTCATTCTTGTAAATTTGTTACTTGAAAATTTGTTTCCCATAATCTTAATCCAATATTTCTTTAGAAAGCAGAGGATAAGAAAAAAGTCAACGATATCGATAAGGTAGAGAAAAATAAAGAGGTAGGTACATTTGTGAATATTTTGTACGTCTTTATATGTTTGTGATTTGTCTTTAGGAGACCAAGACCGTTGACAAAAAAGCCACGAGACGTACCTCTGTGCAAAAGGTAATGTTCGAATATATGTTAAAACAATTTCTAACAAAATATTTCTGTATAGAACGAGGAATATAAATCAGAATCTCGTAGAAGCTCTGTCACACAGAGTGAAGAAAAAATAATTCAAGACGGCAAAGTTGTCAGTCGAAAATCTTCCGTAAGTCAAGTTAATGAAGAGACTAAGAGTGACTCTAGGCGAAGTTCATTAATAGATGAAAAGAAAAAGGTATAGTTGTTTTCGTAAGCTGCTTATTCAAATTCTACAAATTGGCCGCTGGAAAACGAAAAATAAAAAGTCATTGCATAACGCTTTTAGGGGTAGAAAACTAAACATACTGTTACAAAATTAGCAACTTTCAATGCTGATTCTAATGCATAATCGAATTTCTCAAAATACTCCTGTAAAATTGATAGCATTTATATAGCAATAATTTCTTTCGCAGATTACGAAAGATACTAAAAAATTGGAGTCCACTCAAGAAGTGGTGAGTATTGTCATGGAAATATTTCATTAAAAATCTTCATATGTGAATTTTACGAATTTCACATAAATTATATGTAATTTCATTATACATTTCGCAACGTCACTGCTTGATAATTTTTTTTGCAAAAGAGTTCAAGTGAGACTTAAATTACATTTCATATACAGAAAACACCTGATACTCCAACCAATCACATAGAAGATGGTTTTATGAAAAAAGTAGAGACCAAAAAGGAACCAGGGATCAAACCGGAGACTAAACCTGAGATGAAACTCAAGTCTCCACCTCCAAAAACTAAACCAGAACCAGTATCAACCAAAACAGAAAACAAAACATCAAAAACCACTGAAAAGAAAACAGAAATCACTACTTCCAAAAAAGAAGCTGAACCTGTTAAACCTCAGGATGAAAAGGCTACAAAAATACTCTCTACACCAAAAACTAAAGCACCTGAACCCGAGAAACCTGAGGCTAAGCCACAGGAAGAAAAGTTGTCCCCGAGCAAACTGGGGACACCTAAAGCAAAAGAGCCCGAACCAGAGAAACCTGTGGCCAAGCCTCAGGAAGACAAGAAACTACTCACTCCAAAACTTACACCAACTGCTGGAAAAATTCCAGAACAAAAAACCACAGAACTCAAAGTTCCGAATCTGGAAGACCGACGTTCCTCCCTTAAAAAGGTACATACGTCATTCTACTTTGTTCTGAGAGTTCAATTGAAAAATGTCATCTCATAAATAATAAATCAATGTTTCAAACTCATAAGTAGCTTCAGATTTCTGATGAATAAGCATTCTATATTTAACTAACGCATTATTTGTTTCATGTGTCTCGTTTCTGTGATGTCCCTTCAGACCGAGGAAAAACAACCTGAACCAGCTGCATTAAAGGTAAGTTTAGACACCGAAATGTTGAAAATCCTAGGCACAATAAAAATCGTGTTCCTCTTGAAATTTTTCACCCGAAAATAACATTATTTTCATTATATAGACAGAGGAAAAACCAAAAAGGAGAATACCACCCAGAGCAGAGGTAAAGTCGGATTCATTTATTGGAATCCAACTGAAACCAGTCAGTAGAGACGGTAAAAAAACCGACAAAGCAAAACTTGAAGTTGACCTGAAGGTAACACCACTTCGACGTCTATCTTCTATCTCCTTTCTTCTATCATCAAATTCTTCAGTGTATCTTTTTACTCATCGATCTTTCAGTTCTTATATAACAAACTTCAATAAAACCGTATTCTCAAACTTGATCTACTTCTTTCTATTTACGAATTCGATGCAAATTCTTGTCAACTATCTTTCATCAGCTTTTGCTTCTCTCCACCTTTATCTACTTCCCACTATTCTTGTTTTACTAACATTGTTCTATATATTTCATTCCTGGAAACTTTTGCCTTCTATCTTCTTCTGTCTTCTCATACACATTCTTTCTATCATATTTTGTTTTACAGTACATCTCAAGTGACTTTCATGCTACTCTTCCTTACTTTTTTCTGACCATTTGGCTGTCCAGTGGCGAACCTAGGGGCAAGAGGTCACTCCCAGATCCAGGGTATAAAACAGAGCTTATAGTGACAAAAATTCCAGCAAAGCAAAATTGCTAAAATGGTCATTTCTATGAGGAGTATCAAATGGCTCCCATATCTTCCATAGCTCCTAAATGTTTTCCTGGGTTCGCCCTTGGTATATCTTTTCGTGTGTCTCTATGTGTATCTATGTCTACCTGCTTATGAATCTACGATTTCTAATCACCTATCTATTCTTTCTTAACATTCTTCTATGAACTGGTGTGATCTTCATTTCATTGCAGACCTCCTTTTATATACCTGAATTATAAGGAGAGAATGAAGTGGAGATTACATTTATCTGGATACAAAAATGGCGGAAAGTGTATTTATTATACCTTACCTTCAGCAGCTATCTCACATTTTCAGAATCGGTAAACTATCTGAGTCGGAAACTTGTAGCAAAAATCAGAGTTGCTAATTTGAACACAAAATCCTTACAGGTAACAAAACACACTTGTCCCGGCAAATTTTATTTGAACATCCGCCATTTTTATACTTTACAATATTTTCTCTTCTACCTGTTTTCATTTATCTATTACTTCTGTATTTTTATAATTATCAACTGTTTTCCACGATTGATACATTTCAATTTTGAATTATTTACCAGAAAACTGGACAGGAGAAAGAAAAAATTACCGTGAAAAAGACCAAGAAGGAAGAAAAACAAGCGTATAATGAATGGGAAAATATTCCTGATTACGAGAGACCTGTATTAGAGAAATTCGAAAAACACGACATGCCAGAATATGCTGGTAGAGATAAAACGAAATTATCAAAGGTAGTTAAAACTGAGCATAAGCTTTCAGCTTTGCACTTCATTGCTTGCCAGAACCATTTTGACCAGAATATCCTCCTCTACATATCCCTGCAGAATTGACGACCTAAGAAACAATTCTCAAATGATTAATAAATTTGAGATTTGCAACAATGTAATTTCAGAATTTCGAATGTAAAAGAAAAGGAGCTGATGGACATTCTACTGAAAATACGAAATACGAAACTTTGTCCAAGAATTCATGTCTTCTTTCAACCTTTCTTCACTAACAGTAGCTGCATTTCTCACATTTTCTATGATTAAAATTAGGTTTTTTTTTTTTTTTTCATTGAAACCCAATTCTCAAGTATTTCTGTCTCACTCTGTTGAAAAAACCTTTTCACTTTATGTCAAAGATTGGCAGATAATTCGATGTGTGATATCTTGCAGATCCATTGAAGGCTTAGATTATATTTTTCATTAAAAATACCACAGAAGATAGTTTTTGTAGAACGCTAGTTCAAGATCGGTTCGTAAGGCCAACAAATTTTCAATTTTTCAATTGTGATTCTTAATTTATTATCAATAAGGCAATGTATAATATAAACTGCACCCCACCTGCTTGGATATCATTGGATCCTTCTCGTGAAACAGGTTTCTGACTTTTGTTATCACAGTGAGCAAAAAAAAATCAAAAAAGTTTTCTACAACTCAATATTTTTCCATAGGGCAGGTGTTCTTCATATTTTTTTAAATAGGCAACCTCACCAATACCTTGGATGAGTTATAAATTTGCTTCTTCTAGGAAATTCTTGAGAATCTTGTGGGTCTTACACACGACTCAGTGCTTGGTAGGTTTTTCGAAAAATTCAAACCATTATCGGTGTCACATCGATCCTTTTCTTTATATAAGATGCGAACAATACCGAAGCACATATAAGCATGCATCCTTGGCAAACCTCCTGCTTAGCTCGTTGTGAATATTTCATTTTGAGTGATACAAATACTTCGCTACAGGAAAGGCCTAGTATTTCCTTTGAGGGAAAAGAAAAACAACCAACGCAAGCTGTTATTTCGGATCAACCCAGACCGAGCTTGCCTCAGATTAAAACTCCCGATGCTCCTAAGATTGAAGTGAGCAAAGAGCGAACTCCCGAACCGAGAAAAAAATCTTTAGAACCTGGATCAGGTCCGGGTAGCAGGAGAGGCTCACTGATACCTCCTGAGGCTATGGGTAGACGCGCCAGTTTAATCATCTCCGATGAGGTATATATCAGCGACATTTCTAAACAAATAGTAATGATATCCTTCCCTTCTTCATGCAACCTAGGGTTTCACCTGCCGAGCGTGAATTGTTGGGGATGATATTAGTACTAGTAACAGTATTAGGATATTTGTTTTTTCCTCTAGCTGTATATCTGTTCGTGTCCAGTCAGATGTGGATTTTTTGTATTTTTTATATTCATGTTTTAACTTTTGTGTCATAGGAACGTAGGAAACTCAGACCAGGAGAGGTTTTAGAGGAGAAAAAGGTAACCATCAGAATAAATTTCATCGTACGCCTGGCCTCTAATTATTATTTATCACGTGGATATGCGTCTGAACAAATTTATTTTAGGAAGCTTTCACTGTTGTAACTCTGTAACACATGAATAAACTTCATTCAAATCATTCGCGATAGAGAAGAGATTAACATGTTAGCGTTGAGATCGGAGCTGACCTCAGAATGGGTCCCATTGGAATATGTAATTGAAATATATTGAAATTGATTGAATTTTCATTCAGAGATGTTACAGAGTTGATTTATTGAAAATGAATGATGAGCCACAACAAAAAGCGCCGATATTGCACCAAACACTAATGCATTTTTTTGTGGGCAAATCATCTTGAATACAACCAATTCAATTCGCATGAATACAGCAGAGCACCAGCAAGTCAGCAGCCACCACCACTTATGTAGCAGAGCATCGAGTATATATACACTGTTTATTTAATAATATTGATATCGTTTTGACATGGTTATTAAATAGGATATTATGCCCACAGGGAGGAAAATTGCGTCCTGGGGAAGTTCTTGAACCAAAGGTGAGGTTTGTGTTGAAAACACAAAACTGACCTGGTGGGACAGACAATTTAACATATTGACTATTTTTAGTTTCCTTTGCTTCTTTTTTTTCTTTTGTTTCATTCATTTAGTTTATTATTTTTTTATTTGAAGATGAAAGTCGGGAAACGTCCGGGAGTTTTGGAGGAGAAACAGGTTAGCGCGGGTATTTCAAATCTGTCGATTTTAGAGACGTCAATAATATCTACATGTTTGTGTCTAACTTAGATGCAGATTAGAAAACTTTTTATTCATGTCGGTTTCATGATAAAATGTTTTTAAATTTTATGTATAGATTAGACGAACTGTAAATAATTTTCTTTTTTCGTTATTTGTGTGGAGACGGGCTGAGAAAAAATGTCAAGAAATCAGAAAACCAAGTCACAAATAGTTTCGTTTTTTTATATTTTTTCACTACTCCAAACCAATACTGATTTCCTGAATATTTTTCACTGTCTCCCAGCATTTTTGTTCTTTTTTTTATTTTGTTCTCAAACTTGTGTGCTAATCGAGTGTTTGCAAGGAATTTACTGAATAATCACGTCTAGATTAGAATAGAAAAACATATATCGACATATAGCGTCTATATGTATCTGTTAGTGTATATACTCGCAATAAACTTAATAAAAATGCCTGCTTGGCTGAAGATTAACAATGCGCTTTGAAATAAAAAATGCAACTTCACAACGAAACGCTCTTTCCAGTGAAATAAACAAATAAAATACATTTCTCCTTATGAAACGGACGAACGTATTTTGAATATTTTTTTTTCAATATAGCGTCGTCGGCCAAGTTCAGATGTCAGGAGACCAAGTTTGGCAGAACTTGAAGATCTTGTTAATAAACCATCCACACCCTTGAAACCATCTGGGCCTAAGGGTACTGCCCCAAGTATTGTAGACGTTCAAGAAAACTATTCGTCAGTTGAAGGTTGGATGTTTCAAGCTGTTCTTGGCTGCCTTTATTATATCACTATTGTCGTTTTTCAGATCAAACGGCGTACATAACTATCCAAGTGGAGGGTGATCCAGCGCCAACATTCAAATTCTACAAGGTAATTATACTAAGCTGATTGTTGATTTTTATATGGGACCCAGTATAGAACTCTGAAGAACACCTTCAACCTTATACATTCATTAATTTCCGCAGGGTATGACCGAAATCATTGAAGGAGGTCGTTTCAAGTATGTAACAGAGGGAGAAATGAATTTAATTACACTCTGTATCAGAAAAGTAAAACCGAATGATGAAGGCCAATATAGAGTGATCGTATCTAATGTTCATGGTGAAGATACTGCTGAAATGATGTTATACGTTTCTGGTAAGAAGAAATTCACCAAATTTGTACAATATTTTTCAAGAGAAAGCTCAGTTATCTCCCATGAATTATTTTCAACACAGGTGCTGGTGGTTTGGACTTCCGTTCCATGCTTATTAAAAGAAAATACGCAAAATGGGACAAAGATAAGGGAGATCCAGATTGGGGTGATCTCAAAGAAACAGAGAAACCTCTTCCTACTCTCAAGAAAGTTGAGAAGGTGAGTGATCATTTTGGAGGGCAGTGGTGGTATGTATACGCAATAATACGCATTTATAGTATGATTTAAACAGAAAACCTCGAAAATAAGGTGTTAATTTTTTTAATTTTTTGATTATCTTCACTAGAAAGTAATATTTCAATGGAGATGCATAAGTACCGTAGAATTCTTAAAACGATATGAGAGCTGTGCCACTGCGAAAGTAGCGAATCAAGTTGGTTTTAAATCGATATAGATAAATGAATAATAAATTTGTGATCATTTTCAATAGATCGTTGATCTGTAGAACACCCGTGTCAATGGTGAAGGTACCTGGGAAAGGATCAATGGTCTGTAAATATCAAATGCAACTGGCCGAGACCCTGTTTATCAGTTACCTGTGTAACTAAATTACTATGAAAATGTTTTAAAAAAATTCTGATTTATGAAATTTCCACTGAGTATTACATATCAGTTAATCTAGTCAATACTATATGTGACTATTTTTGCTATATCTTTCATTAAAAAGTGTACATCTAAGGCTTAACTGAGCAGATCTCAAACTTAATGTTTGCTCCTTCCACCGTTATCTCTGAGTCGAATGGGAAAAAATGTGTTTTGTATGCTTAGTGATTTCTTTCGTATGCTTTTTAGTTTGAAGAATGGCCAGTTTACATTGCTGAGGATGATATACCATTTGTGTCAAAATTAATTTCTTCTGGGATATTTTGATTTTCATATATGATGGAGATATAATTCTTCAAATTCAACAGCATCAATACTAAAAAAACGAGTAACTAAATAGGCTTTATTCATAACAAGAAATATCAGATTTGGAAGAAATTTCAGCTAGTTCTGGCGATGGCCAAGTCTGTCTTCGAGGTCAAAATTATACAGTGTGTCTCACTCCTCATGGAAACACCCCCGTATCTTCCGTAATAATTGAGGTGGAATGATGAAACTCTCAGGACTGATGGAAATGCTCAAAATAAATGCCCCCACCACCTGAATGGGGTTAGCCAAAGTGATATAAACTGCTCGCCATTCGCGATGGAACAACCCATTTTTATGGTAAAACATACTAGGGGGCAAAATAGTTTGTTACCAATACCTGAACTACACGAATTCGTTTGGCTGTGAGATGCTATCATCCATTTTGAGCCCCTCTGAGGAAAATATCACAGAATCATATTCTCAGATTATTGAGATAGTGTGGAGCAAAGTATGAAAAATTATCGATGGCGGCATCTAATATAACTGTGGAAGACCATTTGTGAAACTAATTCTGGGTGACGAAAACCCAAATTCTATCCCAACTAGAAGTAAGAGCTCTCCGATTGATGAGCAAATACCGCAAAAAATGGAAAAAAAATCTATTTTCATTGGAAAACTGTACATTTTCGATCAACACACCAAGAACTACAACATGTCAAAATTTAGACAAGCAATTTCTCATAAAAAATGTGCGGGATCCTTATTAAAATATTGAGGAAACATTTTGCCAACCGAAACCAAATCAATTTTCATACTCATTGCAACACCGAAACAACCGTTAATTTTAAAAGAAAAAATCGCACTCGGTAACAGGTAGAATTTGGATTATTTTACCTTCTTACTGAATTGTTGTCTGAAATCATTTGGAGGGATTGAATTACATCAGTTTCACTAAATAACAATAATAATAATAATAATTATACCGGCTTGCCGCACTAAGGCAGAAATCTTAGCCGGACAGATGCAGAAGGCTGTCATTCTGAGCTCACTGCGCTTGCTCAGGGCACATGATTCTCGGACCCAATGATCACTTATCCCACGGTGTGGGGAGTGATCGTTGGTTGATAATGGCGCGCCTTTCCGAATGTATCGGGGCTTCGGGGGATAGAGCCTGACCAGCGCATACTTCGGCAAAAAAAATAATAATATCTTCTAATACATTTGAAGCAAATTGATCAGGTACAGTTCATTTATTATATGAAGATAAAAGGCGAAGTTCAATTTATATGATGACAAGTCATCATTCAATTGCTCGTCAATAATGTGGTGTCCTGAGATTACCATGGAAAATAGTTATTCATTGATATTTACTGATAACTTGACATGGCACGCCTGTCACTTCAAGAAAAAAATGAAATTGTTTTAATTGTTGGTGAAGGCGCGACGTCTTATCGTGAAGCGGCCGCTGAATTCAATAGAAGACACCCGTTAGATGTAGCTGTACACCCTGGAACTATCCATAAAATATATAATCTTTTCGTGAGCACCGGCCAAGGATTGAAAAATTGTAAAACAACATATTGAAGATGAAATCATATTGGCGGCTTATCAAGCTGATTCTAGAATTAGTTTGAGAAACTTATCGCTTCAACTTAATATGAGCCGCAGTAAAAGATGGAGGTGTTCAAAGAGGCATAAAATGCATGTGTTCAAACTCAAATTTCTACATACTTTGCACGAAGGAGATGAAATACGTCGTATGGAGTACTGTTAATGGATGCAGGGAAATTATTTCAATGACGGGAATTTTTTTGAGTATATCTTATACAGTGATAAGGTTACCTTTGTCACGAATAGTGTTGTATCTTCCCAGAACATGAGATTTTGGCTGGACAAAATCCAAATTGGGTGGTGAATTGTAGAGACCACATAAAACGAAAATATTATCGAGCCATTTTTTTCGATCAAAATCTAAAAGGACGACTATTCGTTGATTTTCTCGAAAATGCATTTTCTGACGCGTTGGAAGAACTACCTTTAGATGTTAGACACAACATGATTTTCAGTTAGATGGTTCACCAGTTCACAATAGTGGCATAACAAGGGTTTGGTTGAATAGGAACCTACCTATGAAATAGATAGGACCCAATAGCCCTCTCGTATTTTGGCCACCACGATCTCCAGATCTAACTAACCTAACCGTGTTAGGAGTCACACGTTAAAAGGTAAGACCTCGTTAGTCCTTAGCTCGCACAAGTTCCTCAACTTCTGAGAGTTGTCATTCGTATGGGGGCGACAGGTGATTAACGGAAAAAACATATTTTTTTGAACAGAAACTCCACTGAATTTTTATATAAAGGGAACGTTGAATAATGAAGTTTATAAAAATAGGCCAACAAGTAGGGAAGCTATCCGTGCAAGAATAATAAGGGCGGGTAGAGAAATCACACCTAGAGACCTGAGAAGAGTTGGAGAAAATGATGTTGAAATGTTTTTTTAATTGGAAACGTGATTTCGAAAGTACTACTTCAAAAGAGTTTTGAACTACTTAACATTTTTCGCCACAAAAAACACTAGGTTTTTTGAAAATAATGGGAAGATGAGAATCTGAATTAACATTAACCACCCTGAAACCTCATTGATATCATGTTTCCACTCCACTTACAAAATCAACATTTCCTCTCTTATTGACTTTGCGAGAAGGAATAACTTTCCTGACACCAAAATAAAAAATAACTATATATTTCAAATAACTTTTCAATAAGGAGTGGTTTAAGTTTGACGATATAGTCGTGCTACGAAGTGTTCTGGCGATGTCTTGAGTTTATTGGAGCCTCTGGAGACACCCCACATTTTGTTCAATGAAAGAGAGGACATTGGCAGATCAAGATCTTCAGATGATGTGGTGATGCAGGTTTTTCCGGGTTTTCCTGCAGCTGAAAAAGCAAATGAGCCACTGGAATCAATGAAGTCGCCTCGGAGCGCCAATTAATTTTTGTTGTTGTTTTATAATTTCATGATTTGTATCAAAAAGTTATTTGAAATAAAACATTAATTATTTATGTGAAATCTACTTCAAGATACGGGGGTGTTTCCATAAGAAGTGGGACAAATTCGGATTTTTCAGGACTGAATTTTTTTCAGGGAAAAAGTGTATTTGTAGTGAGTTGGTAGTTCTGATCACCAATCTGAAGGAATTTTGAGCCTATTTTGCCCCCTAGTATTTTTTACCGTAAAAATGGGTTGTTCCATCGCGAGTGGCGGGCAGTGTATATTACTTTGGCCAATCCCATTCAGATGGTAGGTGTATTTTGAGCATTTCCATCAGTCCTGCGAGTTTCATCATTCTACCGCGATTATTACGGAAGATACGGGGGTGTTTCCATGAAAAGTGAAACTCACAGTATAGTATATGAATTGAATTTGTGATTTGATTCAAGATTTATGAAAAAAATTGAACTTTTTCACATGAAATGTTCATATACAATAAATATTTTCCGTGAAATTTCAGTATAACTGAAGTGAAATAATATTTCTTCATGTGTCCTCCATAACAAACTTGATCAATTCACGAAATTAAAATAGCTAAATTGAAAGGGGTATATATTTAGAAGAGGGGTATATATTTAGAAGAGATTACTTTTTCGGCAAAAAAACGTTTTGGATTGCTACTTCTCCATCTTCCAACGAAAGGAATAAAGCAATCAATTTCAAGTTTCAAAAGCCTCTATAGGAGCCATGGCTCGGAGAGTTATTAACATAACCTACCTAAAAAACGAGGCTAATGGCCATAGTTGTCGATGCCAAAGACTCGAAAACAAAACACTGTACAGGAATTTAGAATAATGTACTTAACTCGTAAACTGTGAGTTAATCAAAATTATATATAAATGAAACCTGTTCTGGTTCTATTGTTCAGTGCGAAAAGTGATATAGATGAAACGATCTATAAAACTTGAATTCTTGGTAATTTTCCTAGAAATTATGTGGGTCCCATCCAAAAGTTCTCTTCTCAACTGGCTACTTTGAAGAATCAACTGGTTGAAAGAAGGAATTTTACTTTTATCTCGACGCATCTTCATAACTTCGATATGCAATGGATTTGGCCAACATTTAATAAGAATACATGGTAATGTGTTAAAATAACATTTTTTGTGGAACTCATTTAACAGATAACAAAATCGCGGCCCGTGTTTCCACTATGCAACAGATTCTTCAGGCAAAACATATAGTAGAAATTATACAACTAGTTTCAGGTTCCAAACAAGTACTTTACTCAAATACCTGAACTATAAACAATAAAATTATCTACAAGAACAATTCGTTCGGGTCAGTCTCAACTTACCTACTCTGTAGGTTAATAGACTGAAACTTATCAAAAAACATCTACACCCCTGGCTAATACAACGAAGGACGTTGGATTATATCCGACAGATGTCAGTGCAGGATTCTCCACTGAAGTTATTTACGCATATGCTGTTGACGATACAAGTGCCGGAATCGGCTAACGCCCTTCGTGGTATTAGCCAGGGGAGTAGTTGTTTTCTGATAGGTGTCAGTCCATTAACCTACAATGTAGGTACGTTGAGACTGGCCTGAAGGAATTGTTCTTGTAGATAATTAGATTTATAGCCAGTCTCCAAGTATGCCAACTTACTTTATGTACTATATAAAATACCCTTTTCGTTTTCAGGAGATGAAGTAAACTCTTGATTATTTTTAGTACAAACAAAAAATGCTCGTTCACGCCGATTTTGGTTTCATAAGGGAAAGATTTTCCGCGTATTATCACTCTTTACTATAAATCCCTAGCGGTGTGGACTTCAGTCCCTAGGTGGGTGGGAATATCCAAAGTGAGTGGGTCTATTCGACTATCCACTGCAATCCGCGGGGGTTTATTGTGGCATATACCTATTCAAACTCGACCAAATAAGTTCAGCTTGTTAACGAAGCCCAACACTTTGGTGAGTGATCTTTCAGGGCAGATGCCAATCTCTAAAAACCAGATTTGGTCCGCGACGGAGAAAGCACTGAGAATATGCTTCGTTGTTAACACACACTGTTTTCCGACAGTCCCAGTCTCTTCATATGATAGTTCAGGAAATAGTGTCCTGTAAGTAGGGGTGTTAGGCAGTGAAGGTCATCCCTCCTGTAATGAATCAGTTCTGACAAATTTTGTCACGAGGCTGAACTGAAAACTGAAATATTTTTGCAGTCCAGGTATTCCGTGTTTGCTCTGAAAAGCCTGAAGCCACACTAATGACAGGTTCTCGTCTGATGAAACCGCTTGAAGCACCTTTCCTTCCGAAGAAATCAGCGGCTTCATTACCTTCCAGGCCAGTGTCAGGAATTTAGACCGGAGAGAATTGATTGAGATATTCTATTGAGAATAGTCTCCCAACTTGGATTTTACTCAGTGAGTAATATCCAGTGTATGAGGTCTCTCCACACACAAATCAATGGCATAGGTTTCCACTTGAAATACGCATATGTCACTGTCCTGCGTCTGCGACTATATACATTTGCACCAGAATCGAGCTGTGTTTGATCTGTGGACCAACAACTATTTGGTCTTAGTATTTCTAACCCTCCCTATTTGGGTTAGAGGCTATATAAGGCAGGACGTAGTTGACAGTTAGGGGCATTATGTAGAAGTTCATTCCCAAAATACTGCCTGGTTTTTCGTAAAATTTTTCCAAGTGCGTAGTCCAGGTAAGTGTTTCAACCAGGATAATACGTGAATATTCCACCTCTGTTGTATATGCAATGACCCTATCACTGGAGGAAAGTGGAGAAGTATCGTCCGGATTCCTCTTAGTGGTGAAGGGAACTATCACAGTTTTGCTGGTGTTTATGGACGTCTGCTTTCCCTGGCACACAAGTTAACCCTGAACCAAATGTTCTCGAATTGAACATTCGTTATTATTCTGTTCACGAGAATGGTGTAGATCCAATCAGTTATGGTCGATTCAACGAATATGTGTTTTTCAGCTACGGCTGATTCGATAGACATATAGTGCAGTTTCAAATGCTTCTTCGATTTCGGCAAATATCGAATGATTTTCTCTACAAGGTTATGTAATGCTAAATCCATCGATTTGCCAGTTTGGTAAGCATACTGGTGGTTGTTCAGAGGGGATGTACGTGAGGATAACACCCCAATATGTCCAACTAGTATCCTTTCCAGTTTTCCACTAGAAAAGATGCTAGGCTAATTGGTCATTCCAATTTAGGGTGTGGGTCTGTACGGCTCATTTCAGGAATATATACCACCCTTGCCGCCAATCAACTGTATAGTATGTAATCAACACGAGTCTAGCTGTATACAGTTCTGAGTCTGATGATGGACTATGTAAGCAAATCTTCGACTCAGACTTCATTTATAGACACAGAGTAAACCAATACATAGCCTTTTAGTTTTTAATGAAATTCAACAAAAAATAATCATGGGAACAGTGGGTCCAGTGGGAACAGGGATCCACTGATACCAATTCGAAAGGACATTGCTTTCTAATGATATCCTACTCATTGGATTCTACTTCGATAGTTAAATCGAAAATGGCGTAAACAACCGCAGTTCTCTAATTTTGGAATTGATGCAACAAGAAAGTAATAAGTTTCTCCTTCATTAGGTCTTTCAAAATTTCCTAGTAACGTGAGAAAAACTTTGTGAAAAGAAGTAACGACGTTGATTTATTTGTGTGAACATTCATGGAACTTTTTGAAAATGTGACCCATTTAGTTCCATACAATAAATAATACACTATTTGTTCAAATCTATGTCGATCATTGTACAGCATAGCAGGTGCTATGTTTTGGCACTTAGCTATTATGAGTTGGCGAAGATCTGCTATAGACAAATAATTATATTTCAATGGACGAAAATAGTTCAATGGCGATGTATTATCGGGCGACCGATTATTCAAAAAATATTTTACAGCAGCAACATGATGCGGAGGTCCTGCATCATGCCAAAAAAGATTTTGGTATTCTTCGAATAGTTTTATTCGAGCACATTTAGGTACAATTCTCCAGTTAAATTTTCAGGATCGCAAAAATTAAAGAACATGTGATACACCAGACGTTTATTTTTGGTAGGTGTTGGGTATGAAACTCACGAAGTGAATATGAGTTACTATTATTCTAGTATGAACATGTTGTATCCTATTTAAATAAAATGTACACTTATCGGAAAGGCAAATGTATAATGAGCCCGAATCTTCAATGGAACGCTGGCTTATTTTTTCACAAAACTCGACATTTCAGCTACTTGGTGGGCACTTTTGTTACGATCCAAGGTAACATATAACGAAACAAAGACCTTTATGATTGCGGAGGGCTTGGTTTATTACAAAGGAATCCAGTATCGTTAAACTTTTGGACTAATTTCGCAATAAACGAATTATTCATATTCACATTGGAATCAGTGTATTTGAAGAAACTAGCAATAAACCTAGCATAACTGTTATTTCGAAAATAAAGTTCAATAACTTCAACTAGTTCTGCCTAGGATTGTCAATATTGACGTTCTCTTTAGTAAAAAGATAAATCTACTGCTTCCTTTGGATTAGGTACAGGAAACACGCCAGTTTAACACATGGTCCAATTCTACTGATTCCCAGGCCAAGTTTTTTTGATCTCAGAAATTGAGGGCCATGACACACACTACTGAAATATTTTCCCATTGAATAAAACACTCTAGTGCATGTTTGAATGAATAAGATAGGAGAGAATTCCGTAGTCGTAGTCTTTAGCTGTAGTTTTCTTTTTATAGAATCCAGTAGCATCAAGAAGGCCTTCTTTGGCTGAGTTAATTCCAGATTGGCCCATTCTACACCACTTTGAAAAAAAGGAGGTTGGATGATACAGTCCGCTCTTTTTAATGTTTAAGTTGTTACTGTCTGCACGTTGTCCCTCTCTATTGTACATATTATCTTACCTTCAATTGATTCACTGCAAAAATATTAAATGGGATCATGAAATGCCGCTTCACCAGATTAGTTATCAAATTGACTTTCAAGTATTAAATTTTGTTGATCAGGTTGCAATCACTTCTCTTCAAAAGACCATTGTACGCCACTGATGACAACGACAGAAGCTATTCCACAACTTGCTCATACATCTTTTTAGATAGGCATTGCATATCTCAATGCTAGATATGAGTAGGCCCTTTAGGTAAAATTATTTGAATATGAGCCGAAAAAAATATGTATAAACCAAAAATACAAAAATTTTTATTGATTCAAACAAATTATTTACATTGTACATGATGATTATTGTTGAAGAATCCATTGAGAATGAAAATATTTGCTGGTTGATCGGCATTTTACAGATCTCCGTTGTAAGTGTCATTGCATGGTTTAGAATGAGTTTTGAGCAACCGAATGTCACTGTACAATTGCTCAAACTGAATGATTTGAGGATCATATTGTAAAAGTAATCAAGGGGAATAAAACAACTCATTTCAAAGAGTACTTTAGTTTTATTCTCTTACAAAACTGGTTCTAAATCATATCTTACAAAAACAACCCCACATATCTTTGTAGCTGAGTCTTTCACGTATTCTGTCACCACTTTGAGAACCTAATATCCTGAATCTATAACCACTCTCCCTTCAATTAGTACATAACTTCGTGATTGTTGTTGTGCACCTGTAGGTCCGTCCATCCAATATATATATAGTGTACATATTGATGTTCTCACCGATTTTTCCAGTCAGGTTTTTGAAAACGACTTCAATTTTTTCACAGCTGAAACAAACAATAATCTATTTTTTGTACATAGTATTAATACACTAGCGACAGATTCTGAACAGATTACCGGTGCTAATTGGTTTTTAACTTTTATAGAAACAAGAGAGCTTCCTGAAGCCACTAGTGGATCAATATGCTAAAGAAGGAAAAGATAAGAAAGTTGTTTTCGAAGCAAACTTTTCGAAAACGAACTGCAAACCCAAATGGCTTTTCAGAAAAGATGTAAGTACAGAAGTATTACATTTCATCAAAAATATACAGTGCATTGTTTTAATGTCCCCCTTTTTTTATTTTTTGAACGGGTCAACTCAAAAAATTTAAATTTGGGATAATGTAATTAATGCATGAATACTTTATTTTGAAGTGAGATCAACAGATGAAACTTTCAAGATGGCGACTGGGCACCATGTGGGGAAAAAAATTAAATGGAAAGGGGAGTCTTGTGACAAATGCTTCACAACCCTAGAATATAATGTCAATATCTTCAACTACTACAAAATGGCGGAACTTTTGCCTGAATACATTGACATTTAACTACATAATATGAGGTAATAAGCTTGAGATCAGTTCAGAAGATGCTCGAAATGGTTGCCTTGAACTTCTCGACACATGAACAGCTCATCCGATATTTCACGCCGAACATTTTCGAACACAGTAACGTCAATATCTTTACAAATATTTACTATTCCCTGTCGTATATCCAATAATGAAGCAGGTTCAACTTCGTACACCTTTTGTTTCGAATAGTTCCATAAAAATAAGTCCAAAGGTGTCAAATCTAACGAGCGGGCTGGCCATTCTGCAGGACCTCGACGGCCAATCCAACGACCGGGAAAAGAAGTATTCAAACAGTTTCTTATTTGTCTGGAGTAAAGTGGTGGTGCTCTTGTTGGAATACAATATCCATATCGAATTCATTAGGATTCGCTTCGACGATTTCATTGATGAGAGGATCAACAGTAGTTTCCAGCATATTCAAATACAGTTTCCCTGTTAAATTTTGGTCGAAAAATAGAGGTCCTACAATATGGTTTCCCAATATTCCTGCCCAAACGTTATTTTTTTCTGAAGAGAACCGAAAACTAAATGAGAATATTCTTACTGAACAATGATGTTCATTGTCGTACTGACATTTTTCGTCATTTTTATAAACAAAATATAACTTAACAAACCTTATCGGGTTGTTGAAATTGCCAAATGGCAGATAAGACGGAATATTTCTAGAAATATCAATATTAATGTGTTTGTCTTTAGGAAATTATTAAATGTTTCGCCATTTTGTAGTAGGTGAAGATATTGACTTCATATTCTAGAGTTATAAAGTACTCGTCAGGAGCTGCAGAATGATGTATCACAAGATCTCCTTTCCATTTAATATATTTTCCCAGCCGCCATCTTGGAAGTTGCATCTGTCAATTTCACTTCAAAATAAAGTATTCATGAAATAATATCATTATCCCAAATTTCAAATTTTTGAGTTGATCCTTTCAAAAAATAAAAAGGGAGGGGACATTAAACAAATGCACTTCTTTCGCTTCTTTCAATTCATCATGACACTAACATGATACGATTTCAGGAATTGTTCCCTGGATCGAAATATAAATTCAAAAACGAAGGAGATATGTACCAGCTTATTATTTCTAATCCAAAAGTTGAAGATACAGGAAAGTACACCATTGAAATTGGTGGTGTCCACTGTACTGCGTTTTTGACTGTGGACGAGGCAGATCCATCCTACACGTTCACCAAACCCCTGAAAAAGAAATACGATGGCTACACAAAGCACGAAGTTGAGTTATCTTGTACTGTCAGCAGCAGCTTGGCCATCGTTGGATGGTATAAAAATAATAAAAAACTAGAGGACGGCGATAAATTCAGCATTTCGAAGGATATCAACGGTGTGTGTCGACTCACCATAAAAGACGCTCAATTCGAAGACGCTGGCGAGTACTTCTGTAAATTAGAAAAGCAAACCGAAAAGACAGTTACCAAAGTAAATATAGTAGAATATCCCTACAAGTTCGTTAAGGTTCTGAAACACCAACAGCATGTAGAAAAAGAAAACATAACGTTACTTTGCGAACTGAACGACGCAGGGGGTGACGTCAAATGGTTCAAGGGGGATCAAGAAATCAAACCAGATAAAAGGTTAGTGATCACCAAAGATGGGCGTAAACGAAAACTTGTTATTAAAGACGCCAAAGTTACCGATGCTGGCATATACTCCTGTACAACAAATGCTGATAAAACCGAAGCTGAAATAATAGTGAACTACTTGAACAGATTCAATAAAAAACTCAAGGACACCGTAGCGGTTGAGCGAGAGAAACTAGTTTTGGACATCGAGTTACAGGATCAAACTGCTCCTGCCGAATGGTCATTTAACGGAAAACCAATCGAACCATCGGACAGAATCGAAATAAAAAATTTGGGAGGTGGCAAGCACCAGTTAGTTTTCAATGCCCTCGAAATGGGGGATGATGGGGAAATAAAATGTGAATCTGGAAAGCTAGAGTCGACCATGAAACTAACAGTGAAAAAGGGAGAAAGCAAGCCCAAGATAGACTTCCCTGCGAATTTCGAAGCTCCGGTTAGCAGGCCTATTGTTCTTGAAGTTCCATATAAAAGTGAGTAGATCGATAAAATATCTTCGTGATATCTATAGCGCATTTCTTTTTGCAGTTGATGGAACGAGGCAAACACCTCTGGAAGCCAAGCTTATCAAAGACGGAAAAGTACTTCCTCTCAAGGAAGTCGAAGTTGTTATTAACGACGATAAGGTTGTTTTCAAAATAAAGAAACCTACCAGAGATCAATCTGGTCCTTATCAAATAAAACTTTCAAACGGACAAGGTGAAGATGTTAACGACGTCAAAATCACCATGCAAGATGTTCCGACTGCACCTCGTGACGTTGACGTTAAAGACGTATTCCAAGATCACTGCACGGTGTCATGGAAACCACCCTCTGATGATGGCGGTTCTCCACTTCTACATTACGTTGTAGAAAGGCAAGATATCAGTCTCAAAGGTAGGTGTTCATGAACTTGAACTGGGATCAACTACTAGCTGTGATATGTTCAAAACATTATTTCAAATTTTCGTTGCAGCTGGTTGGGAAAGCGTTGGCCAAGTCAAAGCTAACGAGCCTACAACTTACAAAGTTGAGGGACTCATTCCTAAGAAGGAATATAAGTTCAGAATTCGAGCTGTAAATCAGTTAGGGTCAAGTGAACCAGCATTGTTTGCTAAACCAGTATTAGCTAAAGATCCTTGGGGTAAGTTTTCCCTTAACATGTATCTGAACAACAATAAGGGTATACTTGTGTTGAGTGTTATCAGTGTTGCTAACTCTGTCAAAGGATTTGAATTGAGACAGAATCCATTCGACGTTTCTGTTACTCACTGTGAAGATGTTTTCGTCAATTATTTCTGTAACTCAGTCAGTTTAATATACAAAGTGAGTGTCTGTGGTGTCATCACTGTTATTTTATAGTGTAATGGTCTTTATAATGGATGACAAACGTGAATATATAAATTATAAAAATTTGTAAAAATATCTCCATTCATATTCGACATATATAAGGGAAGTGAAATAGTTTCTAAGAAAAATAAAGGTGAGTTCGCCCGAAAATGATCCAGATGGAAAAAATAACAGACACTGCCACAGCTGGTGCCGGTTTTTTTCTTTCTTCTGGTGAAAAAACTTAACGTGTCAATAGTATTGAACATCACAAAATTGACTAACCTCCAGTCTACTATTTTTGGCGAGACCTTGTTGGAGAGTGATGATGGAAAAGTCGTCGGTACTTATCGGTTGTAATTTTCATCGCTCCGTATTTTATGAAAATAGCTTGTCACTCGTTGAACTTCTACACTAGATTGGTATTCGTTACTACACAATTATTTCTTTGTTCTCCTTTGTTCATATCTACATTCTCTAGAGAACTTTTCTCTTTGAAGCTAGTAAATTTATGTTATTTTCGTTTGAAACTGCTTTGTTTGGTAAAATATTATTTTTGACTTGCAGGTTTTTGTATACACGCATTTCTTGACTTCGAATCTAGCATTCGTTCTCTTCCTCTTATAAATCATCCCTAATCCTACTAATTCCCCCCTATTCTGACTTCATTCATAGTCGGTTCGCATTCGTTTGATTTGAACTTGAGTCTTGTGGACGACTCAGACTTTAAAGCTTTCATTTTGCCAATGATTCAACGTAATCTGCATAGGTCATTGAAACCTAACTTTGTTTGTATGATTTGATTATATGACGATGAAAATAAAGAATTTTTTGGAATCATTTTTTCCACAACAACTGTTGAGTATTTGTAATCAGTTCAATAGATTTTGTTGAGAAAAAAGAGGACAGTATATTTTGTCGTTAGATTGAAATAAATTCCTTCAGACTTCAAACTAATAGGTACTAGATAGGTACTAGATGTCAAAATTCTGTTAGTTGAATTGATTAGGGTCAAGTAGGGTTATTTTGTGGTCCATTACTTTATATAAATATTTTCTACTGTTGATACTGACTACCGACCATTAATTACATTTAGTTACTTTGACTCAACTACTGCATTTACCCGGAATGAAGGGGTAAATGTAAAAATATCTTTTTGAATCCTAATAGTATGGGTAGTTACTGATCTGAGGCAATAGCAATCAAATTCACACATACAATTTTCAATTCAATATTATGTAGAGTTATGAACTTTATCTTACGAACTGAATCGTAATTCTTAGATCACTTAAAATAATACTCAGAATATAATCATATTGTTATACTTGTGATCAAAACATAAAATGTCGCGCTTAATTATTTCAGAACTAGACAATATATCTGACAGTAAAATCAGCGGTAATCATATTACGTTCTATTTATAGGCCAGGCAAAAAATGCGTCGCAGACTAATACCTAAGCCCCATTCCTTTACTTATTTAATGGCACTTTCTTCCTTCAACTCGACAATACAATGTTGCAAATAGAATTTCGTAAATGACAGAAGCTTTTGTAATGTATACACACCATGCTCCCTATTTTGAGTGTATTTGGGTCCTTTTTAACATGACAGCACCAATGGAACAATAAAACTCAATTTTGAATAAAGGTAATAAAACATTTCATTTTTCCCGAGGAATATTCATACATTTGCCCTGAGCCCCTAATTTCAAGGAACAAATGTATTGGCGGCCATGCCAAAATAATTCAGAATAAATTTGCTCCGATACATCTTTAGAACATTTGTTAACATCTAATATTCACACTCTAGTATCAAAGTAAAAAACTCACATTTTATCTCAAGATGATTTCGGAACATCAGTTTAAAATTAAATTCCGTTTATTCATCTGTCAATCAAACAGATTCAATAGATGTCAGAGTGTAGTGCGAAATGTACTTCATACATACGAGATGGCAGCATAATTTTTGTGTGGAAAAAAGTTGCGGCTAAAAGCTCCACATAACCCTAAACATTCTGTGAAAAGAGGTTTCAGTTAAAACATCTGAATTATTTTCATTCATTAATATAACATATTTGGAATATATGATTGAATTCTACTACATCTTGAGGTTTTCCTTTCAATTTTATCTGTCACTATATTGCAAGAGCTCCACATACACTCAGTTTTATTATCCGAATATTTCAGTTCCTTATGATACATTTCAAACTCTGACCGAAAGATCTTTTGTTAACTATATTGATATGGAATTTCCACAGGAGTTGCTTAAAACGTAATGGCTAGTCACATTAAAAATGTAGTATGCAATCCAGATCAAGTTAGCAACAGTGGTACCGGCGAAGTTGATTCTCATAACCAAGAATTATTTCAGATGAGGCAAGTAAACCCAAAGACGTACAAGTAGTCGATTGGGATGTAGACCACGCTGATTTGACCTGGGTCAAACCTGACAGCGATGGTGGTGCTCCAATCACGGGGTACGTACTCGAATTCAAAGAAAAATTCGCCAAAGACTGGAAGAAGGGAATCGAAGTACCTGGAGATCAGTTGAAAGGAACAGTGCCGAACTTAAAAGAAAACAGCACGTATGAATTTAGAGTTCGGGCCATCAACAAAGCCGGGCCTGGTGAGCCCAGTGACCCAACGAAACCAATAATCGCTAAGTGCAGATTTGTGAAACCTTTCATCATCGGCAGCGATTTGAACAACATTATCGTGAAGAAGGGACAAGTCGTCAAATACGACATCAAGTACGGAGGAGAACCTGAACCAGAGGTCCAGTGGTTCTTGGACAAAAAAGAAATCAAGCCCGATGCCGAGGAACGTATAACCATCGACAGATACGAAAGAAATACCATCATAACGGTCCGAAGATGCACCAGACCAGATAGCGGTAAATACCGATTGGTGCTGACCAACAGCTCTGGTACTTGCGAAGGTGTAGCGGAGGTCATAGTGTTGGACAAACCTACGCCGCCTAAAGGTCTCAAAGTTGAAGAAATCCGAGCCGATCACGTGAAAGTGAAATGGCAGAAACCAGAAGACCTCGGAGGTACCGAACTCACAGGATACGTTCTTGAAAAGATGGATATGGATACGGGAAGGTGGATTCCTGCAGGAGAAGTTGGGCCCGATGAGGATAACTTCACTTTCAAGAACTTGACGCCGAAAAAGAAGTATAAGTTCAGAGTCAGAGCCAAGAACAAGGAAGGAGAGTCAGAGCCTCTAGAAACCGACGATTTCATTCTTGCTAAGAATCCTTACGACGAGCCTGGAAAACCTGGCAAACCAGACATTATCGATTACGATAATAAGAGCGTAACCCTTAAATGGGCCAAGCCAGATAGCGATGGCGGCAGGCCAATAACCCACTACACTGTCGAAATGAAAGATAAGTTTGCTGTGGATTGGAGCGAAGTAGCCAAAACTGAAGACGCTAACCCTGAAATACTGGTACCAGGTCTAAAAGAGAATATGGTCTATCAGTTCCGCGTGAAAGCTCACAATAAAGCTGGAGCTAGTGAAGCCTCCGAACCCACAGGCAATCACCTCTGCAAGCACAGGAACTGTAAGGATTCACTGTTTGATTTGTTTGAAATTAATTATTTTTCACTGGATTCAAATAGTTTTTCACTAATTGTTTTTGCGAAGCACACACAAATATTCATTCACAGTATACACTTCAGCCCATTTTTCAGCTTGACATAGCTCAATTTTTGTGTCAGCATTATTAAATAATCTTTCTATCCTAGGTCATTCTTAAGCCAAACGTTAAACATGTTGGCGACTCTACAACTTGAAGTTATAATGCAGGGCATAGTGTCTACAAAAAGTATGGTTTGTGTGAATATTTTGTACTTGATTATTTTCAGGTTTTTCATCCAGTTAATGTTTTTGTCTTACATTTTTGTAAAAAACTTTCTGGAATTGTGACGTTTCAGCATATTGTACAGATCCTAGAATAAGCTGAAATCAAAATGAACTCTATCTTAGGGTGGACTATCTTTATTTTTCAGTAAAACCACGAATCGATCGCGAAACATTCAAGTCTATCACAATAAAGGCAGGTCGCACTCACAAATGGGCTGTGGACTTCATGGGTGAACCTCCACCGTCGGTCAAGTGGGTTTGGAGAGATGACATTCCATTGACGAATAGTGAACGAATCAAAATTGAAAATGTCGATTACCACACTGACTTCACCCTCATAAACGCTGTTCGAAAAGATACTGGAAAATACACTCTCATCGTGGAGAATTGCAACGGAAAAGACACCGAAACCGTTGAACTGAACGTTCTCAGCAAACCAGGAGCGCCCAAAGGACCTTTAGTAGTATCTGATGTGACTGCAGAGAAAGCTAAGGTTAGCTGGAAGAAACCTGAAGACGATGGAGGTAGTCCTGTAAAAGAATATGAAATCGAAAAGATGGATATGGCTACCGGAAAATGGGTGAGGGTTGGCCGTTTACCCGCCGACCGAATGTCACCTGACGGTAAGGGTGAATTCGAAGTTACCGGACTCATTCCTGGATCCGACTATAAATTCAGAGTAACAGCTGTTAATAATGAGGGCGATTCTGAACCCCTCGTATCCGATAAACCCACCTTGGCCAAAAATCCATTTGGTAAGTAACACAACACGCAGCTTACATATTTTGCCCAATCTTTTCCATCAAAATAATCATTCCTCCGGATATGTCAATATCAAATGGAGTCCTTCTCGGACTTGTCTTTTCAGGGCAGTTAAATCCAGCAATGCGCCCATAGTTCGGCCTAACACCACTTATATAATAATTATCTGATAGAAAAGCAAAATTTAGTTCCAACCCTAATGAATCTCATCATTTTTTGAGTTAAATTTGTCTTATCTATATTTTCATAAACTTTCTTTTTTTAAACTTCATTCATCCAGACAAATGAAGTCAATTTATTTAAATTTCAATCGAAAGATCTTGCTCAACTCATCTTGCTCAACAGAATATATCAATAATTGCTGCTGATGAGAGATATCTCCCGTTTTCAGGATTTTTTATCGTCATCTATCCAAATATATTTTAACGTTTTGCAAACATAGCTTGTTGGCACCTTCAGTTGCTGTTACGAGTAAACATGCTACAACGTAACATCGATAGTACCCACACTCGAGTTGACGGAATTCGCATAGACGATACTCATCAATTTCGAAAGCAACACTAACAATTTTGTTTTCAGACGAACCGGGTAAACCCGGCACTCCTGAAATCACTGACTATGACAACAAGGGTGTCAATCTCAAATGGACTCCACCAGAAAATGATGGTGGCGCACCGATTGAGAAATATATAATCGAAAAGAAGGATAGATACAAACCAGACTGGGAGAAGGCTATTGAAGTTCCTGCTGATCAGCTGGAGGCTCGTGTGGAGGATCTGAAGGAACGTGGTGAATACCAATTCAGAGTGGTTGCCGTGAACAAAGCTGGGCCTGGTAAACCTTCAGACGCATCTAAAATGCAGATCATCAAGCACAGAGCACGTAAGTATTTCAACTTGAAAACAACGGTAGCAAGGAAAACTTCACAAACATCGATTTTTTTCAGTAAAACCAAGAATTGACAGAACTAACCTGAAACCTATCATCGTGCGGGCTGGAAAGCCCATCAAGTACGATGTTGATGTCAAAGGTGAACCGGCTCCAACATGTACCTGGTTCCAAGTCGATAAAGAACTTAGATCAGAAGGAAACATCGAAATTACCAACATAGAATATAACACTAAAATAAGCATAACAAATTCAGTAAGAAAGAATACCGGAGTTTACAAGATAAAAGCCGTCAATGAACATGGTTTTGACGAGGCTGAGGTTGAAGTAACAGTACTCTCATCTCCATCAAAACCAAAAGGCCCTCTGAAAGTGACGGATGTCACGAAAGGAGGTTGCAAACTCAAATGGGACAAACCAGAAGATGATGGAGGCAAACCAGTTACAGGCTATGTAGTGGAGAAGTTTGATAAACAAACCGGTCGCTGGGTACCGGTGGGGAGAACAAATGATACTGAGATGGACGTTAAGGGGCTACAAGAAGGCCATGAGTATGATTTTCGCGTCAAGGCTGTCAACGATGAAGGCGAGTCTGAACCATTGGAAACAGACGAATCCATCATCGCTAAAAACCCATACGATATTCCTGGGAAGCCTGGCACACCAGAAATCGTTGACTGGGATGCTGATCGTGTAGACTTGAAATGGACAGCACCAAAAACTACAGGAGGAGCGCCTATTACGGGATACGTTATCGAAAAGAAAGAGAAATTCTCCACATCCTGGGATGAGATTCTCACAACAGATGTAAGTTTTTCAAATCAGTATCAAGGTAGATTTCGAATAAAATTTATTTTCAGACACCTGCTTGTGATGCTCTCGTTCCTGGCCTCAAAGAAGGAAATACCTATCAATTCCGCGTCCGTGCTGTTAACAAGGCAGGACCTGGTGAACCATCAGATGCCACTGGCCAACACGTTGCTAAGCCAAGGCATCGTAAGTACTTCATAAAAATTATTGAGTTTTCAATAACACTATGTGTTTTGCAGTACGCCCACACATCAACCGCGAGAAGCTGCACACTGTCAAGGTCCGTGCTGGACAACTTGTCAAGTTTGACGTTGACGTGAAAGGTGAACCACCACCGGTATGCACTTGGAGTTTTGCACACAAACCACTTGAAAATGGAGCTCATGTTAAGGTAGACAATGAGGACTATAACACGAAACTCACTTTAACTGACACCAAGAGAAAACACACTGGAACGTACACAATCAGAGCCGAGAATCCATCAGGATTTGATGAAGCTACTGTTGAAGTTATAATTCTAGACAAACCTGGTAAACCTGAAGGGCCACTGGAAGTCAGCGACGTGCACAAAGAGGGTTGCAAACTCAAGTGGAACAAACCAAAGGATGATGGAGGCCTACCAATAACTGGCTACGTCGTAGAAAAGCAAGACACCTCAACGGGCCGCTGGGTTCCTGCAGGCTTCGTCGATGCTGATAAAACTGACCTTGAAGTAACCGGTCTTGACCCCAATAAGAAATATAACTTCAGAGTCAAAGCTGTCAATGAAGAAGGTGAATCAGAACCTCTGGAGACTGATACATCGATTCTTGCCAAGAATCCCTATGACGTATCGGCACCTCCTGGCCTTCCAGAAATTGTTGACTGGGATGAACATTCCGTAAAACTGAAATGGGAGAAACCAGTAAGAGATGGAGGTGCTCCCATTACTGGATACGTTATTGAAGCTATGGATAAGTTCGGAGGACAATTTGTAAAAGTGGCAGAGGTCGGACCACAGTGTACCGGCACTGTGCCAAGACTAGAAGAAGGGAATCAGTACAAGTTCAGGGTTCGCGCACTAAATAAAGCTGGGCAATCTGAACCATCCGAACAGACTAACTGGCACACTGCTAAAGCACGATTCCGTAAGTTTCATATATTCATCAGCTTTGAATTCTCCTTTCAAAATCCTTGTTGTATCATTTCATACCCTATGTAGTACCAAATCCATAGACTTCTCATTGGGTTTTATTCAATAAAACACCAACCTGCTTTTGGCCAGTACTCATTTCAGTTTCTATTGTTCTATTAATGATAGAACATTATTTTTATTTTTTTTATTCCAGTTAAACCACTTATTGACCGTACCAACCTTAAAGCACTGACCGTAAAATCAGGACTGTCTATAAGTTTGGACGTTAACATCCAAGGCGAACCACCACCGGTAGTAACATGGTTATTCAACGGAAAGGAAATTACATCTTCCGAAGAAATCCGTATTGACAACATCGATTACAACACCAAATTCTTCGTATTACGCGCCAAGCGAGCTCAATCTGGAAAATACACAATTATAGCCAAAAATGAAGTAGGAGAAGATCAAGCAGATATTGAAATTTCTGTTCTCGGTAAACCATCCGCTCCTAAAGGACCATTGGATGTCAGTGATGTCACCAAACATGGATGTAAACTGAAATGGAAGAAACCCGATGATGATGGAGGCACCCCCATCGACCATTACGAAATTGAAAAACTAGATCCACTAACAGGTCAATGGATAACATGTGGAAGGAGCGCTGAGCCAGAAGCCAACATAACTGGGTTACAAGAAGGCAAGCCTTATAAATTCAGGGTGAAGGCTGTGAACAAAGAAGGGGAGTCAGAACCTTTGGAAACTGAACAGACGATCATTGCCAAAAATCCATTTGGTGAGTTTAGTTTATAGCAAACCAAAGTATCACGAAATGCAATGAATAATTCGAACTTACATCTCTTTCAAAACTTCCGTATGCTTCACTTAAATGTTTAGTTCTATTCAAAACTTTTTTCAGATGAACCCAGCAAACCTGGCAGACCAGAGCCCAAAGACTGGGACAAAGACTTCGTAGAGCTTGCTTGGAAACCACCAGTGAGTGATGGAGGAGCTCCAATTGAGAAATATATCATCCAAATGCACGATAAAGCAGGACGTGGATGGATTGATGCTGCCTCTGTTCCTGGCGACAGAAGCACTGGAAGGGTGGAAAACGTTGAAGAAGGCCACGAATATGAGTTCCGTATAGTTGCAGTCAACAAGGCTGGTCCAAGTGAGCCCAGTGATCCTTCAAAACCAGTAATCGCCAAACCAAGATTTTGTAAGTATTTTTGAAAGGATTTGAAGGAGAAACGTACTAAATCTGCTTCATTTTTCAGTGGCTCCCAAAATCGATCGTAAAAACCTTGGTAAGAAGGTATTACGCACAGGGCAGTTGTTACGTTTGGAGGCTGACGTTAAAGGAGAACCAGCTCCAGCTGTCACTTGGACACTAAAGGATCAAACTTTGAGAACTAATGACAGGCTCAAAATTGATAACGAAGACTATCACACCAGTTTTGTGTTGACTAAAGTCAAGAGAAGTGATACAGGAATCTATGTTGTCACTGCTAGAAATGACTCTGGAGTTGACACGGTTGATGTTGAGATCCAAGTTATTGGTAAGCCTTCCAAGCCTAAAGGCCCACTCAAGGTATCTGACGTTACCGCAGATGGTTGCAAACTCAAATGGGAGGCACCTGAAGATGATGGCGGTGAACCAATTACCGGTTATTTGGTAGAACGTATGGACGTCGAAACCGGTAGGTGGGTTCCAGTAACTACAACAAAAACACCGGAAGCTGATGTTACCGGACTGAACGAAGGAAAAGATTATCAATTCAGAGTGAAAGCTATCAACTCTGAAGGTGAATCTGAACCATTAGTAACTGAGGCTCCAACTACAGCGAAGAATCCATATACCGAACCTGACACTCCTGGAAAACCAGAACTCAAAGATTGGTCGAAGAACCATGCCGATCTGAAATGGGCGCCACCCAAAAACGATGGTGGTGCACCCGTCGAAAAATACATCATTGAAAAGAAGGATCCTTTCACTGGAAAATGGCAGAAAGCTGTTGAAGTTCCTGGTAACAAAACAGAAGCTAAAGTACCTGATTTACAAGAAGGTCAGAAGTACCAGTTCCGGGTGAAAGCTGTCAATAAGGGAGGTGAGAGTAAACCTTCACCGCCCTCAGAAACCATCACGGCCAAAGATAGGTTCGTGCCACCCAAAATCGATCGCACGAACCTCAAAGACCTCACGGTTAGGGCAGGTCAGCACATCAGGTTGGACGTTAAAGTCAGTGGTGAACCACCACCGAGTAAGATATGGTTCCTCAATAAAGCACGTATCGAGAAACGTGACGATATTACTGTTGACCTGGAGGACTATAGAACCAAATTGGTAATTGGAGTGGCAAAGAGAGAGCACACCGGTACCCTTGTCCTTAAGGCAGAAAATGATTCTGGGCGAGATGAAGCAAGTATTGAAATTAAAGTATTGGATAAACCATCCAAACCAGAAGGTCCGCTTAGAATCAGCGATGTACACAAGGAAGGGTGTACCCTCAAATGGAATCCACCCCAGGATGACGGTGGAGTGCCCATTGAGTATTATGCTGTTGAAAAACTGGACACTTCCACAGGTCGCTGGGTACCAGCTGGTAGAGCAAAAGAACCAAAGATTGAGCTGAATAATTTGGAACCAGGACAGGAATATAAATTCAGAGTATCGGCTGTCAACGCCGAGGGAGAATCAGAGCCTTTGGAAGCTGAACAAACCATTGTCGCTAAGAATCCATTCGATGAACCGGGGGCCCCTGGTACACCTGAAGTTACCGATTGGGATAAAGATCGTGTCGACCTAAGATGGACTCCACCTGCGAACGATGGTGGATCTCCAATCACTGGATATATAATCGAAAAAAGGGAGAAAGGATCTCCGAAATGGACGAAAGCAGGTGAAACTGGACCATTTGAAACAAAGGGAACCGCTGACAATTTGGACGAAGGAACTGAGTACGAATTCAGAGTTCGGGCTGTCAATGCTGCGGGTCCCGGCGAACCAAGTCAAGCATCAAAATCCGTCATTACGAAGCCCAGAAGATGTGAGTTTCCGCTTTATAATGTTATTAGGACCGATCCTTATTTATTCTCTTGTTTCAGTGGCTCCTAAGATTGATCGCAGGAACTTGTTCGATTTGACAGTTAAAGAGGGCGAACCCATTTACATTGATGTGAAAGTCAGCGGAGAACCAGCTCCCGATGTTACGTGGTACCATGAAGGAAAAACTGTCACTAGTACGTCGCATAAGCGCATCGACAATATCCCGTACAATTCCAAGTTCTTCAACGATAAACCCGAAAGAAAGGACACTGGAGTTTATAAGATTGTCGCTATTAATAAATACGGACAAGATCAGGCTGAAATTGAGATAACAGTTATTTGTGAGTAATCAAACATCAATTTTCGAATCAATTGTTAACAGATTATTTTTTTAGCTAAGCCAGGACAGCCCGAGGGACCACTGGAAGTTTCTGATATCCACAAGGATAACTGTACTTTGAAATGGAAGAGACCTAAAGATGATGGTGGAGAGCCGATTGAAAACTATGTGGTTGAAAAACTTGATCCTGAAACTGGTATCTGGCTACCAGTGGGTAAAACAAATGGTGCCATACCCGAAATGAAAGTGGATGGTCTTATCCCTGGACATGACTACAAATTCCGAGTCAAAGCAGTGAACAAAGAAGGCGAATCTGAACCTCTTGAGACTGCTGGGACAATTACAGCTAAAGATCCCTACAGTAAGGATTAAAAAAAAATGAATACTCAATACACTCATGCTCTATTTTTTAGCTACCGCTGCCAAGCCTGGAACACCAGAACCACAAGATTGGTCTGCCAACCATGTAGACCTCAAATGGACAGAACCAGTATCGGATGGTGGTGCCCCTATTACTGGTTACATAATAGAAATGAAAGATAAATACAGTCCTATGTGGGAGAAAGCCCTGGAGACAACATCGCCCAGTCCCACAGCAACCATCAGCGGACTTATTGAAGGAAACGAATATCAGTTCAGAGTCATTGCTGTTAATGATGCTGGGCTGAGTGCTCCTTCTGATGCTAGCAAAACGTTTACTGCTAAACCCAGATTTTGTAAGTGTTAAAAATATATTCAACCTGCTTGGTTGCTGAACGATTCCACTCTTTTTCAGTGGCACCCAAAATTGACAGACGTTATCTTCACGATGTCACAATATCAGCTGGATCGCCTCTTAAATTCGAGGCAAATATCATCGGTGAACCACCACCGACAGTTGAGTGGCGTTTCAATGGCAGCACCCTCAAAAACGATAACCGCACGACAATCGACAACGTCGACTATAACACCAAGATTGCAATCCGCCCTGTTAATAGAGACGACACCGGAGAATACAAAGTTACCGCATCAAACAGTTCTGGAAAAGACACTCACGTCATCAATGTCACAGTTACTGATAAACCTACCCCACCACAAGGACCACTACAGGTATCCGATGTCAACAAAAATGGCTGTAAACTCAAATGGAAACGTCCCAAAGATGATGGTGGTACTCCTATCGAGTACTACCAAGTGGACAAAATGGATCCAGAAACCGGTTGTTGGGTGCCTTGTGGAAGAGCAACGGATCCAAGTAAGTTTTTTCGCCAACCAGGTGGTCGCTTCCCCATGAAGAACTCTTAAAACTGTTTATGAGACGCATACAAAATAAAATGGCAGGGGTCTCATATTTTGAGTTCCATGCTCTATCGTCTTTCTAAAGGTGCATATGGAACTCGACGTAAGCTTATCTCGGGTCGTTTAACAACAATGATTCTTCAAATTATAATTTTATAATTTTCCTTTTTCAGATTTCGAAGTATCTGGATTGACACCAGGCCACGAGTATAAATTCCGAGTTGCCGCTGTAAACGCAGAGGGTGAATCCAAACCGCTCGAAACAGAAACAACAATTGTTGCCAAGAATCCGTTCGACGAGCCCGGTGCTCCTGGACATCTCAAAGCAACTGACTGGGACAAAGATCACGTTGATCTGGCTTGGTCTCCACCAAAAGACGATGGTGGTGCCCCAATCACTAGTTACATTGTTGAAAAGAAAGATAAATTTGGCGACTGGGAAAAAGCCATCGAGATCCCAGGGAATCAACTGAAGGCGACTGTTTTCGATCTGATCGAAGGACAACCTTATCAATTCCGCGTGCGTGCTGTCAATGCAGCGGGCCCAGGTGATGCTAGTAATGAAACACCTACTATCATTGCCAAACCACGCAACCTTGCACCTAAAATCGACAGAACTAACCTCAACGAAGTTAAAATACGTGCTGGGCAGAGTTTCGGATTCGATGTTAAGGTATCTGGTGAGCCTATGCCAACAACCAAATGGTTGATGAAGAATAAGGAAATCAAAACAGGCGATGGAACAAAAGTACAGCATGGTGACTATAATACCAAGATCAATGTCCGAAATGCAACTAGGGCAGACTCTGGAACTTACACAGTAACTGCAGAAAACGCCAACGGCAAAGATATCGCTGAAGTCGAGGTCATAATCTTGGATGTGCCTAGTCCTCCAGGAGGACCCCTGAAAGTGTCCGATGTACACGCTAATGGAGCGAAACTGAGCTGGAGACCTCCCGCAGATGACGGAGGCCAACCTATTGAAAGATACATTGTCGAGAAAATGGATGAAGCCACCGGTCGCTGGGTGAACGCCGGGGAAACCGACGGTCCAGAAACATCTTTACCAATAGATGGATTAGTTCCAGGTCACAAATATAAATTCCGCGTCAAAGCAGTCAACAGGCAAGGAAAATCAGAACCACTACAAACAACACAAGCTGTCGAAGCTAAGAATCCATTTGATGAACCTGGTAAGACAAGTGCTCCAGAAATCACAGATTACGACAAAGACTTCGTGGAACTCAAATGGGAAAAACCAGAAAATGATGGTGGCTCACCCATTACTGGCTACATAATCGAAAAACGAGACAAATTCAATCCTAACTGGGAAAAATGCGCAGAAGTTGAAGGTGATACACCAAAGGGCAAAGTTAATGACCTCATCGAAGGAACTCCCTATGAATTCAGAATTCGTGCTATCAACAAAGCAGGGCCTGGACAGCCAAGTGAAGCTTCCAAGATTCATGTGGCTAGACCCAAAAATCGTAAGTAAACTTTCAAATGAGGAGTATTTTAATCAAACTATATTTTGTGTTTCAGTTGCTCCAAGAATCGACAGAATGTACTTTTCCGATCTCAAGATCAAAGTTGGCTCTTCAATTGAGTTCAATGTACCTGTTATTGGCGAACCACCACCGTCGAAAGAATGGAAACATAAAGAAGATGTCCTATTTAATAATGACCGAGTCAAAATTGTAAATGAAGATTACAAGACAAGCATCAAAATTATCGACGCCAAGCGAGCTGATAGTGGGCCTTATACCCTCCTGGTTAAAAATATCAACGGGCGAGATGAAGCAACAGTGAAAGTAACTGTTCTTGATGTACCTACTCCCCCAGAGGGTCCACTCAGAGCGGATAATGTGACGAAGAATTCGATGACCCTTCACTGGAAACCACCAAAAGACAATGGTGGTACAGAAATTACGCATTACACTGTAGAAAAATTGGATACAGAGAATATGAGATGGGTACCAGTAGGCGATGCTATTGGTACTTCAATGAGAGTGGACCACTTAACTGAAGGGCATGATTATCAGTTCCGAGTTAAAGCTTGTAATAAGGAAGGTGATTCTGCTCCGCTCCAGACAATTGAAAGTATAACAGCTAAAGATCCATTCACAAGGCCAGACAGACCTGGAGTACCACAAGCTACTGACTGGGATAAAGACCACGTTGACCTCGAATGGACTCCGCCCAAGAAAGACGGTGGAGCGCCAATCAGTGAATACATAATCGAAAAGCGGCCAAGACACGGGTATGTATATTCACTCAACATGATGAATGCATATTTTGATAACTAATTGTTTTCAGAACTTGGGAAAAGGCATGTGAAGTACCTGGAAATACACCAAAGGCAACTGTGCCAAACCTAGTAGAAGGTGAAGAATATGAATTTAGAGTAATTGCTGTCAACAAGGGTGGACACAGTGAACCAAGTGAAGCCAGCTTACCAGTAATTGCTAAACCAAGATTCCAAGCCCCGACCTTCAATAAGAGCCTACTTGAAGATATCACGGTAAAAGTGGGACAACGGTTTGGATGGACAATTCCAATCGAAGCCTCGCCTAAACCCACTGCAAAATGGACTGTCGATGGAAAAGAAATCAGATCCAGCGATAGAATCGACATGGCGGTTTACAACAACAAAGTTTCTTTCGATATATCGTCGTCATTACGTTCAGATGCAGGAAGATACACCCTGACATTAACTAACAATTTAGGCAGTTTTAGCGCTTCTGCTCAAGTAACTGTACTAGACAAACCAAGCCCACCACAACCACCTCTAGATGTCAGCAGTGTTACTAAGGATAGTGCCAGGCTGTCATGGAGGACACCTCTTGATGACGGTGGTACCCCTATTTTACACTACATCGTTGAGAAAATGGATGTATCTCGTGGTACTTGGTCAGATGCCGGAATGGCAACTATCACGTCTCATGACATTACACGACTGATTCATCGTAAAGAATATTATTTTCGAGTGAAGGCTGTCAATATTGTAGGAGAATCTGAACCACTGGAAACTGAAAAGAGTATCATTGCCAAAAATGAGTTTGGTAAGTGATTTTTACTGCTTTCTGGGGGACGGGAACATTAACTGAAAACATAGACCAATAGTGTTTCCAGCATTTTCGATACCATTGGATTCGAAGCTTTTCTTTTCATATCAGATGACAGGTTCTTTCCCAAAATACACGTACGTGGTTCATTGTCAAATAACACCCTTTAAGTGAGACGAAGTTATTGTTTTCATCTTTCTTTTTTGTTCAAGCACTATCTTAATTCTCTAATGAACTTGAATAGCTTAAAGAACAGAGCCTGGCTCCCGTAGATTAAAGTCTAAATTATCCTACTCTTTCCTTTTCCATTATTACAAGATGTGAAGGGGCTGCATATGTTATAGTGTTATCATGAGTTCAACCACCTTTGAGTATAGTCAATATATCATGTTTGGTTTCAGCCTCCTTAGGCCAACATTAGTTACTTTCACTTTTCTTCTTATCCTTTCTATATTTATTTGTTTCGTTTGGGATCTAAAATCACTTCCATATATTCAACTTTCCCCGACAATTTCACCTCGAAAGTTTCAGAGATCCTAGTTCCTCCATCTAAGTCCTTCTGGTTCAGAAAATCTAATGATTCGTCCAAAAACCCTCCTGAGAGAAAATTTTTGTTTCCCCCATAATTATCTTCCCTTCTGTGGTCGCTCCTGGTAGCTAGTCTGCTTGATGCCCTCGACAAAAAAAAGTTGATCTGCAAGCTTATGCAGATGACCTTGTCATCCTGGCAAGGTCCACATCGGAAAGGGTAGCTTGTAATATCCTCCAAAGCGCGTTGGACGTTGTTCACACTTGGTGCCTGAGGGAGCAGATGTCTGTCAACCCCAGCAAAACTGTGTTAATCCCCTTCACCAAGAGAAGAAAATTGGACGATCTAACGCCACTTTCCCTCAATGGTGTGGTCATTCCATTTGGAACGGAGGTGAAATATTTTGGCATTGTCCTTAATAAAAGACTCACCTAGAACGCTCACTTGGAAAAAGTTTTACACAAAGCCAGACTGTCTCTATGGACATGTCGAAGGATTTGTGGTAAAACTTGGGGCTTAGGTCCCAAACAAATCCATTGGATTTATTTGATGATTGTCAGACCATTGATCACTTATGGTGCAATTGCTTGGTGGCCGAAGGCTTTACAGAAAACGGCCCAAGCGAAACTCTCTGGCTTACAGAGACAGGCTTGTCTGGCTATCAGTGGTGCCATCAGTACCACCCCGTCAGCGCCAATGAAGATACTTCTAGATCTACCTCCTCTCCACATTTTTCCGGAAAGAGAGGCTAGATGGACTGCATGAGTGCAGAGTGCAACAGACTGTTGGTTAACATTGGAAGTCACATCATTCTGGAAATGACATTTGACTTTAGGTCTCCAACTGTCATCTACGAACTGCCTTATAAAGTACTATTCCAGAGTAGAGAGGACTGGATTCTCCGGGAGAAGAAAATATTAAGAGCAGATAGGTGTTGGTTCACAGATGGATCAGAAACACCTTCCGGTTCTGGTGCAGGTGTTTTCAGTTGCAGACCCAGGGCAGAGCTATATACCTGCCTAGGAACTTATGCGACTGTATTTCAAGCGGAAATTTACGCTATTGAATTGTGTGCGGAGAGATTGGATAAATTCAACCTCACTCACAAGTGAATAAAAATAGTCTCGGACAGTCAAGCGGCGTTGAAAGCTCTTGCCTCCTAGCGAGCACTGTCTAAATTGGTAACAAACTGCCAAAAACGACTCACCTCGATAGGAAGACTAACAGATTGTCTCTGGTCTGGATTCCTGGCCATACTGGCCTGGAAGGCAATGAAGCTGCGAAGGAGGGTGCTGCAAGCGGCTTCATTGGACCAGAACCTGTCATTGGCATCGCTTTGGGCTTTGGCAAATAAACACTGAACACCTGGATGGTAAGAAGATTTATGGACTTCTGGCAGAATCTTCCAGGATTGGCTCACTCCAAGGCGTTTATTCAGCCTTCGAAGCTTGATTCCAAACAGTTGTTGGACTACAGTAGGGATGAACTACGATGTCTAACAGGCCTTCTTGCAGGTCACTGTCATTTGAATCATTATATGCAGAGACAATTATATTCCCCCATGATGGTCTCCAAGCCTTCAGTCGATACAGCTGCAGCTTGTTAAGTCGATCCTTCTTCCCAATGCCTGGATGATTGATTCCTAGGACATCCACGTGCTCTCAATAGCCAAGAAATTATATAAGCATGCTGTTTTAAATATAATGGTTTTCAATTCCTTCACTAGGACCAAAATATTCCTAGAAAAATTTGAAGTGTTTTGATTTTGTTAAGCTTATGCAATCCAAATACTAATTTACTGTTGGTACTTCACCTTATCAAAATTATGCTTTCAGGAGAACAATTACAAGCAAATAAGTAACTTTACGAATGTATCTTACCTTATAATGACAAAACATCCAAGGTGACTCAATCTTTATTGTACAAACATATAATTTTCCCTGTGTGCATAATTGTATTATTCTATTGACATCTTAATTTATAGATGAGCCTAGTGCTCCTGGCAAACCAGCCGTTACAGACTGGGATAAAGACCACGTTGATTTGGAATGGACTCCACCAAAAAGCGATGGTGGGTCACCTATTACTGGATACATCATTCAGAAGAAAGAAAAGGGCAGTCCATACTGGACCAATGCCGTTCACGTACCACCAAATAAAAACAGTGCTACAGTACCTGATTTAACAGAAGGACAGGAGTATGAGTTCCGTGTAGTAGCTAAAAATCCTGCGGGTCTTAGTGAACCTTCCGAACCATCAGATTTAGTCACTGCGAAGGCCCGATTCTGTAAGTGAAATGCTGTTCACAATTCAGCTTCTTTGTATATCTTCGGAAACATGCAACAAAAGAGATGGCTAACGTTAATTTGAATTTCAGTGGCGCCCAAAATCAAAACACCACTCAATGATATTCGTATCAAAGCTGGACTCATTCTCCATATTGACATCGACTTCATTGGAGAACCTTGTCCTGAAGTATCCTGGAGTGTCGGAAGTAAACCTTTGGGGGCTAATGAGCGTACAACTGTAACATCGATAGGATATCACACGACCATTCACACTGTGAACGCCAAACGTTCAGATAGTGGTTTGTATCATATTTTACTCAAAAACAGCTCGGGAATAGACGAAGGATCATTCCAAGTAACAGTTCTTGGTGAGTACCCATTATCATTCCAGCTTTATATTTTCATTTGTTCACATCAAACGTGTCATCCTTTGTTTTGAAAAATAAGTTGTAGCTACAGAAGCGGTTAAAGATATTTTGAATGCACGAGCTCCAGAAAGGATTTGAGCCACGCAGTTAACAGTGATACCTAAGTAAATAGCAAAAAGACGGTAAATGCTCGTTTTCTTTCATTTTTCAGTTATGTTCTGGAAAATGGTGGCAAAATTTCATTCAATCATTATCACGATAGTATTATTTACTAAATATTTCCTTGGACTCTGATGTCCAAAATAAGTGTACGTCGGAAAATTCAAAATTATTTTGTGTGAAGACATTTCAATAATCGTAGTATAATAAAGCAAATGGTTGTATTTATAGATCGTCCAGGACCACCTGAAAGGCCAATTGAATACGAAGAGGTGACGGCTCAAAGCGTAACGCTATCGTGGAAACCACCCAAAGATAATGGTGGTAGTGAAATTACGTGAGTATTCTCTCTACCCTACGTTATGAAATCTAATAGCACTGTCTTCCACTAGCGGTTATGTCATCGAGAAGAGGGATTTGACGCACGGTGGTGGCTGGGTGCCAGCCGTCAACTATGTCAATCCCAAGTACACGCATTCAGTTGTTCCAAGATTACTAGAAGGAACCAAATATGAGTTCAGGGTGTTTGCTGAAAACCTCCAAGGTAGATCGGATCCACTAGAGACCGAAAGACCCATTGTCGCCAAAAACCAATATGGTATGTGAAGCTAGTCCCCTTTTCAACAGCTTTTGATATTTTCTATCTTTCCAGACGTTCCTGGAAAGCCTGGTAAACCAGAACTTATTGACAGTGACAAGGACCACATCAAGATCAAATGGGCTCCACCAATCAGCAATGGCGGATCTCCTATCATCGGATATGACATTGAACGGAGAGACAGAGCCACCGGCAGGTGGGTAAAACTCAACAAAGAACCAAACCGTAGTAATGAGTACTACGACGATAGAGTGCAAGATGGACATCAATACGAGTACAGGGTATCTGCTGTTAATGCGGCTGGTCCAGGAAAACCAAGTGACACATCTAATGTGTTCACTGCTAAACCAATGAAAGGTAATACAGCCACAATTTGATTATAAACTGTACTAATCAAATTGTTTTACAGAAAAACCAAAACTTTGGCTCGATGGCATCATTGGACGTAAGATCAAAGTACGAGCTGGTGAACCCATTAATATCAACATACCTCTCTCTGGTGCACCAGCGCCTAAATGTGAGTGGATTAAGAACAAGATCAGCGTACCCGAATCCAATAGGGTGTATGTAAGTAACTACAAAACTTTACTTTGAGTTCCATTTGAAACCAAATTTACTTTCGAATTCCAGACTGAAACAACCAGTGAAAACACCAGACTTCGTGTTGAAACATCTAATAGGGATGACACCGGTATTTACACCGTACGTGCCTCAAACGAGTACGGAAAAGATGAAGCCGATATCGAAGTAACAGTTGTAGATAAGCCTGGAATACCGAAAGGTCCTCTTCAGTATACCGCAACTTCCCAGGACACCATATCTCTATCCTGGAACCCACCAGCCGATGATGGCGGTGGTGATCTCACTGGCTACATAGTAGAAATCAGTGAGTTTGGCACAGATAGTTGGCGGCCATGTCCAGGGTTCTGCCCCAGACCATCTTTCACCGCACGTGGTTTGACTGAAGGCAAGAAGTATGTATTCAGAGTTCGAGCTGAGAACATATATGGCGTATCTGAACCATTGGAAGGAAAGCCAGTTGTTGCAAAGAGCCCATTCGACCCACCAGGAGCACCAAATCAGCCAGAAGTAACTGGATACTCGGCCTCTACCTGCTCTCTCAAATGGAACCCACCAGTTTCTACTGGCGGAAAGCCAATCACTGGATACTATGTGGAGAAACGTGAGCGCGGAGGTGACTGGGTAAAGGTCAACAGCTACCCAACTCCCAATACTCAGTATACCGTTCAAGACCTACGCGAAGGCAATAAATACGAATTCCGCGTAATAGCAGTCAACGAAGCCGGTCCGGGTGAACCCAGTAGACCCACAGAACCTATAATTGCCCAACATCAAAGATTCAAGCCAGACACACCAGAACCACCTAAAGCTGATCGTATTACAAAGGACAGTGTCACACTTTCGTGGAGGCCACCTAGGAGCGATGGTGGATCAAAGATCAAAGGTTACGTTCTGCAAAAACGACCAGTTGGTGCTGACGACTGGACCGATATTAATACGACTCCAATCAACGACACAGTCTATACTGTACCGAACTTGAAGGAAGGCGAAACTTACCAGTTCAGACTCATGGCTGTCAACGATGTTGGAAGATCCGAACCCAGTAGACCAAGCAACAACATAAAAGTTGAAGAACAACCGAACAAGCCTTGTATGGACTTGGGAGGTATTCGTGATATCACAGTCAAGGCTGGTGAAGATTTCAGCATTCACGTGCCATACGTTGGGTTCCCAAAACCAACAGCATCCTGGTATGCTAATGACCGAATTTTGGACGAGTCTGATAGCAGAGTATTCCCAAAACTTGCTGATGATTATGCTAGTATTATCGTGAAAAATTCGAAGAGAACCGACAGTGGACAGTACAGGCTGCAGTTGAAAAACCCGTCAGGTTTCGATACTGCGACGATAAATGTAAAAGTATTGGACAGACCAGGCAAACCTGAAAATCTTAGAGCTGACGAGTTTGCTGGAGACGCACTTACTCTCTACTGGACCCCACCCAAAGACAACGGTGGCGCAGATATTACCAATTATATTATCGAAAAGAAAGAAGCTAAATCGCAGACTTGGTCTAAGGTCAGTAGTTACGTTACTGTTCCATTCGTCAGAATTCGTAACCTTACACTTGGAAAAGATTACGACTTCAGAGTAATTGCTGAAAATCAATATGGACAATCAGATCCGGCCGTAACATCTGAACCAATTCGCGCCAGACATCCATTCGATCCACCAGGAGCCCCAGGGATACCCAGAGGAATTGAAACCACTGAAGACTCGATTACCATTACTTGGGCCAAGCCACGCCACGATGGTGGATCTCCCATTACAGGTTATGTAGTGGAAAAACGTCTCATCACCGAAGATAAATGGACTAAAGCTTCACACGCTCTAGTACCGGATCTAACACTGAAAGTCATCAACCTTATTGAAAATCATGAATATGAATTCAGGGTGGCCGCAGTCAATGCGGCTGGTCAAGGAGCTTGGAGCTCTGCTTCTGATGCCATTTGTGCCAGAGCCGCTCCAAGCGCTCCAAAGATAACCTCAGATTTGAGCATCAGAGATATGATTGTGATTGCTGGTGAAGAACTGAAGATCACAGTTCCATACGTGGCCACGCCAAAGCCTAGAGCAACATGGACGATCAACGGAGACGAAGTTATATCCGACAGTAGAATCAAAATGGATACGACTGACATTGCTTCTGTATTCCTCAACAAATCAGCAAAACGTTCAGATACTGGTAGTTATACAATCAAACTCACCAACTCAGAAGGATCAGACTCGGCTTCTTGCAGAGTTCTTGTTGTGGATAAACCTTTACCGCCGCAAGGACCGCTTGATATATCTGATATAACTCCAGACAACTGCTCATTGGCATGGAGGCCACCATTAGATGATGGCGGTTCTCCTATCACCAATTATATCGTGGAAAAACTGGATACGAACGGTATTTGGGTGAAAGTCAGTAGTTTTGTCCGAAACACCCATTATGATGTAATGGGTCTGGAGCCGAATAAAAAGTACAGCTTCAGAATTAGGGCCGAGAACCAATACGGCGTCAGCGAACCTCTGGAAAGCAGCGAGCCTATTGTGGCCAAGTATCCATTCACAGTTCCAGAAGCACCAGGAGCACCCCGCGTTACCGACTGGGATTCCACGACAATCTACTTATCTTGGGACAGACCAAATAATGATGGAGGTTCCCGTATTCAAGGGTACAAGCTTGAATATCGCGATATCGCTCACGATACGCACTGGCAGAGCGCTAGCGACTACCTCATAAAAGAAAATCATTTCGACTTATTCAATATGACTAGCGGACATGAGTATGAATTCAGAGTCCGAGCGAAAAATGCAGCTGGATTCAGCAAACCATCAGCCTCGTCCACAACATTCAAGCTCAAGGGTAAATTCAATGTGCCCTCACCTCCCCGCAATCCCAAAGTCATCAATGTTGGTAAGGGTTATGTAGATCTTACCTGGGAGCCTCCAAGCAACGATGGTGGATCCAGAATTACTGGCTACATCATCGAAAAGAGAGAAATAGGATCTCCTCTGTGGACAAAGTGCAACGACTACAACGTAACAGATACAAATTACACTGTATTGAACCTTATCGATCGTTCAGAATACGAATTCAGAATTTATGCCAATAATTCAGCGGGAAGAAGCGAACCAAGCACCTGCACAACACCTGTAAAGGTTTGTGAAGTACTTGGAGGCGAGAAACCAGAATGGATACGTAGACTCAACAACTCATCTGCGCCTCTCGGAAAATCGATCACCCTGGAGTGCGAGGCATACGGAAAACCAGAGCCAGTGTACAGATGGATCAAGAATGGTCGTGAAATCAAACTTGGTGGAAGATTCAAAACCGAAGTCAAAGCAAGTACGGCGTTCCTGCATATCTCTGATCTACTTGATATTGATGAGGGAGATTACACCTGCGAAGCCAGTAACACACTTGGAGCTGTTACCACTACAGCCCGTCTGAAGATTGGTAGTAAGTATTCAAATTATTGAAAATATTGCATTCACTGAAAATAACTTTCATTTCAGCGCCTCCAAAGATAGAACGCCTTCCAGGTGATCTGTACTTAGCTGAAGGAGACAACACGAAGATTAAAATTTATTACACAGGAGATCAACCTCTGGATGTAACCTTGACTAGAAACGGTCAAATAATAGATGATTCAACTCACATTAGATATACAGTATTCGACGATTACATAATAATATTCATCAAAGATATTACAAAAATGGATGCAGGAAATTACAACTTGACTGTCAAGAATGACAGTGGAAGCGCATCAGGAAGCTTCAGTGTATACATCACTGGTCTGCCCGGACCTCCAAATGGCCCTCTGGAAACCTCAGATATCACCAAGCACACTTGTAGGCTAGGCTGGAAACCACCCAGCTACGACGGTGGGCTGAGAGTAACGCACTACGTTATCGAAAGGAAAGACGTTCTTGGAACACATTGGATAACAGTTTCCAGCTCCTGTCGCGACACCAACTTCGTAGTACAAGGACTGACCGAAGGACAAGAATATCTCTTCCGCATACTGGCTGTTAATGGTAACGGAATGGGTCCACCATTAGAAGGCATTAATCCAGTGAAAGCTAGAGCTCCATTCGATCCACCAGGGCCTCCTGGTATACCAAAGGTTACTCAAGTTGGCGGAGACTTCGTTAACTTAGAATGGACCAAACCCGAGAATGATGGTGGCGCTAGAGTACAAGGCTACTGGATAGATAAACGAGAAGTTGGCAGCCTTGCTTGGCAGCGCGTGAATGCATCACTATGCCTACCTACACAGATAAATATTTCAAATCTCATTGAGGGACGACAGTATGAATTCCGTGTCTTCGCTCAAAATGTCGCCGGTATTTCAAAACCATCATCAGCGTCGTCGAGTGTAGAGATTAAAGATCCGCTTGCTGCTACTCCACCAGAGATCATCAAACCTCTTAGGAATGCCCAATGTATTCAAAACCATAACGCCAAATTTGAATGCACCATCAGTGGAAATCCTGCACCACATATCACCTGGTACAAAGGTGCTAGAGAAATCACGAACGGTTCAAGATACCACATTTACAGTGAAGGAGAAGTACACCATCTCGTTATACACGACGTATTCGGAGAAGACGCTGATGAATATGTATGTAGAGCTATCAACAAAGGTGGAGTCAAGTCTACTCGAGCAGAATTATTGATAATGAGTAAGTGTTTCTTAGAGTACTCGTATAACGAAAATTCAGATGTGATTATATCTGACATATGCTGAAAATGACTCAAAAGATATAATAAGATACGAGAGAACTGAGCTTGAAAGATGTCAAGTAGTATATTTTCATACAAATTTGACATAAGAATATATTTTATATATTCAAAATATTTTACTACGCTTTTCTTACATATCTTCATAGCTTTAGTTGGTATAAAACGAGCTGAGTCGGTCGAACATTTCCCGTGAAAGTATCTATAGCGGGGTGTGTATAACTTTCTATTTCCATATTTCTGTGAGAGTGCTTTTGCTATTTCAGTAACGTTCTTTGCTATTCCAAAAACTTTCTCATTTCCACTTTCAAACTGTACAAGATGTTAAACGCCATTTTAATATGGTGTTTCTTCTTCCAAAAACCACCACCATATTCAATTTTTTTATGGATAAAACACAAGCACTACAGGAAAATTCTCAAGGCGCTCTTGAAGCGGTGCCTGTGCGAAAGTAGTGGAATTGGCAACTTTTCTCCTAATTTAACCGACTTTATATCTCTTACGGATTCCGATTTTCTCATACTTGCCCTCTTAATCTCGGACACAGTGTATATTTTATAGTGAGTGGTAGAATAGCATAAGCTAAACTCCGCCAATATAAAAATAAAGACCATTTATTATTATTATTACCATTATTATATAATAAAAAATATTTTAAATATTTGCTTATACCTGGGAAGTTAGGGTACTCATAAGGTCAGGTTATGCATTTCATTTATCTTCACTTTGCAGATTCACTATTTTATGGTAGTTTCTTCTGTGAAATTATTGAAATTCCCTGACTGATAAATCAAATCAAAATACACTAACAAAGCACTAAAAATAAGGAACCAAACTTTGAATTGAATGAAAGACGTCAATTCATTACATTACACAATTTATTTGATACAAAAGTTTGTCCAGAGATAAAAAATTAGACCGCCATCATGATCGGTCTGCCATATTGGAGTTAGAATGAAGTCATGTTATTTTTCGATTTTTTTCAAAAACCCTTTCACTTGATACCCATGTATGTGAAATACTCTTTTTGTTCTACTCATTGAAAACTAACTTTTCCTCGAGTTTCAAAAAAACTGGTAGGGCATTCAAAAAAATGTATGTATTGTGTGTGTGTGTTCTTTTAAACTGAATCGGTTGAGGATAAGTGCTTCAAAATTCAGTTGCAAGATTTGATCCGAATTTAACATACATACATACATATATGCTCACATATACAGAAGCATACAGACATTACAAGTTAAATAAAACTAGTAAGAAGAGAAAATGCTGGGGAACATCTAAGTAAATAAAGTAACAGAACTATTCCACCATTCTGTACATATACTTTACCTATATAGTTACAGAAAATTTAGTGAAAACAGATAAATATTCCGCTATAACAAATTACGTTGCCATACGCAAAATATCAAATATGACTTTCAATTTTCAGCTGCTCCCAAACTGAACATTCCTCCGCGCTTCCGAGATTCAGCCTACTTCGACAAAGGCGAGAACGTTGTGATCAAAATTCCTTTCACTGGCTTCCCTAGACCAAAAATCACTTGGGTGAGGGAAGGCGAAGTCATCGAATCTGGTGGTCACTACCATGTAGAGGTCAAAGACAGACACGCCATCCTCACGATTCGCGACGCTAGCAAGTTGGATAGTGGACCATACAGAATCACAGCCGAGAACGAATTAGGACAAGACACAGCTATTATAAAGATCCAAATTGCTGATCGTCCTGATCCTCCCAGATTCCCAGCAGCAGACAATATCGGAACAGACTCACTGGCTCTATCTTGGAAGGCTCCTGTATGGGATGGTGGTAGTAATATCACGAACTACGTAGTAGAGAGACGCGAACATCCCCTGTCAACGTGGATAAGGGTTGGAAACACACGACTGACTACGATGGCGGTCAGTGGACTCACTCCTGGACACCAGTACGAATTCAGGATATTCGCTGAGAACATCTATGGGCGCTCAGATCCATCCGATGTGAGCAACCTAATCGCCACTAAGGACTCTGTGAAGAAACAGATACAGAAGAGAAAGTACGAAGTCGACGAAAACGGAAAGAAGATTCGTGAATCCCATAAGGAACCAGTCAAAGATTACGACAACTATGTCTTCGACATCTATTCTAAATTCGTACCACAACCAGTTGAAATCAAGACCAGATCTGTGTATGATGACTATGACATATTGGAAGAAATCGGAACAGGTGCATTTGGCGTAGTCCATCGCTGTCGTGAGCGGAAGACTGGAAACATTTTCGCCGCCAAGTTCATACCCGTGTCACACGCAATGGAAAAAGAATTGATTCGCAAGGAAATCGACATAATGAATCAACTGCACCATCCTAAACTCATCAACCTTCACGACGCCTTCGAAGATGACGATGAAATGGTCCTGATCTACGAATTCCTTTCAGGGGGTGAACTATTCGAAAGAATAACAGCTGAGGGCTACCAGATGTCTGAAGCTGAGGTCATCAACTATATGAGACAAATTTGCGAAGGTATCAAGCATATGCACGAAAGAAATATAATCCACTTGGATATCAAACCAGAAAACATCATGTGTCAAACTCGTAAGAGCACGAACATCAAACTGATCGACTTCGGCCTGGCTACGAAGCTAGATCCGAATGAACTCGTCAAAATTTCGACTGGTACTGCTGAATTCGCTGCACCTGAAATAGTCGAGAGGGAACCCGTTGGGTTCTACACAGATATGTGGGCTGTGGGTGTTTTAGGTTATGTATTATTAAGTGGACTGTCTCCCTTCGCTGGAGAAAATGATATTGATACTCTGAAGAACGTGAAAGCATGTGACTGGGACTTCGACGAAGAAGCATTCGCCAACGTATCGGAAGAAGGAAAGGACTTTATCCGAAGGCTACTGTTGAAAAACAAAGAGTAAGAATATCAACTGAACTTCGAGGGTAACTTCAATTTGAAATTGTGTTTTTTAGGAAAAGAATGACTGCACAGGAATGCTTACTTCATGCGTGGCTCAGCGGTGACCATAGCGACAGAACGCAAGTGATTCAAAGATCAAGATACATCCGTATGCGTGACAGGATTCGGGCTAAATATGATGCATGGGATTCATTCTCCCTACCTATTGGCCGACTTTCAGAATACTCATCTCTCAGAAAGCTGCTAATAGAGAAATACAAGATTCACGACGCATACTTTGGTAAGATATTTGCATAATTTCTTATACGGTGCGTTCATTCCAACTCTGATTGCTCCTTCTACATTTGATTGTAAAAAACAAGAGGTCGCAGAAGTTTTCAATAATATTGTAAGACTAAAATCCATCTTGGGTTTTTGATATTTTGAATGAGTAGAATTCAATTTTGACTACAAAAGTTATAGAAAACAAGTTTTCTGTAGAAGTAAAATTGTTTTAGTTATTATTTCACTTATTTATGTACTTCAATGAACTACAAAGGTAGATATTCACCACTATTGAGTATAACCAATACATCATGTTTGGTTTTGAAGCCCTCGTGTCCTCGTAGGTTTATCTGGCCAGCATCAGTGCCTTTCTTTATATCAGGTCTAAATGTACTTTGTAAGAATAATCATTCATTTTATATAAAATCGTAGACGACAGCACTTCAAAATTAATATGGATTTTCATTTCTGGGTCTGAATTCTTGTTTATTTGCAATTTGATATAGATAATATAATGAAGAAAGAATATGTGATACTAATGAGAAGTTATTCAAACTAAAGTATACTCCATTCATTGAAACAGTTCTGAAGACTGTATCATCCTGATTTTGACTATCCTCTTCACAGATCGAAGACAAGCCGCTCCAAGATTCGTCATCAAGCCGCAAAGTGCCTTCTGTTACGAAGGCCAGAGCGTTAAATTCTACTGTAGGGTTATAGGCGTAGCTGCCCCTACAGTTAGCTGGTATCACAACAACGTAGAACTGAGACAGAGTGTCAAATTCATGAAGAGATACGCGGGAGATGACTATTACTTCATCATAAACAGAGCCAGGTTGCAAGACAGAGGAGAGTATATAATAAGAGCCGAAAATCACTACGGATCAAGAGAAGAGGTTGTGTTCCTCAATGTTCAACGTAAGTTTGCTATAGCAATTGTATTTAAGAGGTACTTATTAACAATTTTGCAGCTTTGCCAAAAGTGGTGCCAGAATATAAACCTGAAACTCATGTGATACGCAGAAGGGAACCACTACCATACACGTTCTGGCAAGAAGAACAAGAATGTGCACCAAGCTTCACTTTCTTGCTCAGGCCAAGAGTCATGCAGGAGAGGGACACCTGCAAATTGTTGTGCTGTTTGAGCGGAAAACCATTCCCAACGGTGAAATGGTACAAAGAAAAACGCGAACTCAGCAAATACGAATACTCCATGTCACATTCAGATGGTGTGATAACGATGGAAATCAGCGGATGCAAGCCATCAGACTCTGGAAAATACACCTGCGTGGCGACGAATATTCACGGACAAGACGAAACTTCTTGTGTGGTAATTGTTGAAGGTGAAACCAGCACGGCTGAACAAACAGCGTTAGCAAACAAGTTGTTGTATTCTGGAGACAGAAAATATATTGAGAGTCCCCTCAAACCGGCTCCAATACCAGTTACGATAAGGAAACCGATTTCATCGTACAACCCACACCCCATACAACCACGATCAAATAATCCCAGCATGAACAGTTTAACACATTCGCCCTCTAATCTCAGTGTTGGAGATGGCGAAAAACGCACCCCTAGGAAATATGGAAGGTTAGATTCCACTGGAAGTCCAAATCGGTCAAGAAGTGCCACAAAAGAACTAGCACGTAAGTTTTTGAATCGGTCGCCTCGACTTGCAAATAAGGGTGTGATTAATTTTTGAGTTTTTCTCATGAACTATTAGGATCGTGAAAATTTGATTAAGACCTATTTTAGGTGATAATATTATGTATATTTTTTCCCAATAACTTCTTGCTGAAACATTCATAATTTAAAGGTTATGAACAATAATATATTTAAAATTAAGGGATGTGTCCTTTCAAAGTGTAGTGACTATTTCTATTGATTTCATCAAAAATATTCATTAGAATTTTTTTATAAAACTTTCTTAATCAAAAAGTTTAACCTATTTATTATTTTCAGTACCTCCTGATTCAACAATGTGCAAACCAGAGTTCACGAAAAACTTATCCGATTTGACGGTTAATGATGGTGAAAGTCTGACATTGACTGCCCACGTAACAGGCGATCCTGATCCTCAAATTGTTTGGACCAAGAATAAAAAAACACTCAGCTCGTCAGAAGTTGTCGATCTCAAGTACAAAAATGGAATAGCCAAACTACATATCAACGAAGTATACCCTGAAGATGAAGGAGAATATGTATGCAAAGCCACCAACTCGATTGGCAGCGCTGAGACAAAATGCAAACTCACAATCAAACGTAAGAAAATACATTATAACTTTATCGAAACTATCTTGGACTCCTTTGTAATTCACAATCTATAGTTGATGGTTTGGATAATTATCACAAGGTTTGTCTTTTACGTTGTCACATATGACCATCAGACGGTAAGTGGCATCACACATGTCATTACCCTAGAATTTTTATCTGTCTATCATTGAAGACATACTTTGGTATTCTTCCAAGGATCCCATCATTTTGTCGAGTGTCGCTATTTCTTGAGATAAAATGAATATACAAGTAAATAATTGAAATTCATATTTTGTTTCAGCTATGGCTAATGCAGTCAACGGCAAGAAGAAGGGTTCAGATGACAAACCTCCAAGGATAGTCAGCCACCTTCAATCAGCGTTTGTGGGAGATGGAGAAGCCGTAACTCTATCCTGCCGAATTATAGGAAGCGACAAATTCGATGTCGTATGGTTGCATAACAATAAGGAAATCAAGCCATCTAAAGATTTCCAATACACCAACGAAGCAAACATTTACAAGTTGAAGATTGCAGAAATATTCCCAGAAGATTCTGGCGCGTATACATGTGAAGCGTTCAATGATGCTGGTGAAAGTTTCAGTAGTTGTACACTCAATGTTGTTGTTCCAGGAGAACAACCAAAGAGTCCTGTTTTCAAAACATTCCCGATTTCCGCTACGGTAAGAGTGTTTCCCCACCATAGAGCCTAATTTACAAAGTAGGAAAATTTAATAAAAAATAAATTTCTGAAATGTAAATTAGTAATTCCTTTCTTCGAGTGGCATTCCGGTAGTCCACAGAATATGCCGGGATTGGTGTCTACTTCCTTGTGATTCAATGTCTAAATGATAGCATTTGATTTCTGTCTTAAATGTTTCAAGACCTATACCAGTTTAAATTCACAAGCGTTACTTCAAAGTGATAAATGGTATTTGGCTTGGATGTTTTGTACCACAAAAGGCTTTCTTCATTATGTCTTGAGTTCATGGTCGACGGTTTCTATTCGTTCGAACAATGATCGATAAGAAAGCAGAATCGTTGACCATGGTCTCATATTATTGACCACGGTCGTTTATAACGACAAGCATCTAATTCTAAGCTGTGGTGGACGAAGTATGTTGGAGAAGACCTGCATATTTTTTCTTGCTCTTTCTTCTTGGAAGCCATCTCACTCATTCATTTCTTTCCAAGTCTTCGGAAAATACTCCGGCCTCATGAGCTTACAACGTTTTTTCTCTTATAATATTTTCATGACACCAAATCAAACAACCTTGTTCTCCGTACCATTCAGTACAAGGTATTCGGTTGGCAATTTGTCATATTTCTCTGGATATAATTTAAGTTGTTGATAAATAGCTTTCTTTCTGAGCCCCAGTACCTCGCATTCGCAAAAAATATTGAGGAGCTGTCTCTATCTCCTTGTTTCATTCTCTACAGCTAAGGTATTCGTTGTACGGCAATAATTTTGTTCAAGTGTTCTCTCAATGGACAGTTTCCAGTAGCCTTGTAATTGTTCTGAACCGATTTTTTCTGTTGGAGCACACTTCAGTTTTCTTTTCGGATTGTCTTTTAATAAAAGTTTTCCCGTGTGCGTAATCTTCCAGTTTTGCCGTAATTACTGCAGTTCAAGAATTGTTCGTTCGATACAATTATTGAAGTATTCGCATGTCGTTATGTTTCCTCTATTGAACATTTCACTGATTTTTTTCAAAACATTTTAGGTGTCTGAAGGTGAATCTGCATCTTTCATCGCAGAAACAGAAGACGAACCGTTACAAATAAATTGGTTGAAGGACGGCAAACCAATAAAAGAGAGCAGCGCGAAATACAACTTTACCGCTGACGGAAAACTTTACACCCTACAAGTTTTATCTTGCAGTTCCAATGATGTTGGACAATATCAAGCCAAAGCCATAGGAAAGAAAGGAGAAACTTTAGCGGCATTTTCACTGAACGTTGTTCCATCTGGTGAACTCTGAATAAAGCTCTGACTGCTCAACAAACGCTAACTAACGAACGACTTGCTCCAAAATTATATTTTATGTAACATAGTATGTGTATAAATAATATATTTTTAAGTGTTTTATATGAGAATTCGACGAGGATTTCATCAAATATTGAAAATTCAACGCGGAGCTGCTGGCATCCTCTACCATAACATCTTTCGCAGTAGTTTCGAGGTGAATTATCAGTATGCACACTTTCTCGTCCGAAACTTGCATTATTTAGCGATATTTATTTTTTTTTCCGAAAAGGGAGCAGAACTGTCGACTTTTTAATTTAACGGTATGGAATGAGAACATTAATTAGTGTGAGAGAGCTTCTGCCATTTGTTTCATCTCGCCATCGTTGTTCATTATTTAAGTTTCACAAAACGAACATTATTGCTTTCGCAATGCCCAAACAAAATTGTACCATACGATGTAAACAAGAAAAATAAAATATTATTTTTTAAATGCCTTTTCATTTATTTCGATATCAATAGTCCTAGAATTATCAACAAAATATCGACAACAGTGCCAGAACTTCGCGACAGAGTGCCACAGTAGAATGCTAAAAGACCGATGCTGATAACGACCGCCCTCAAATATGGCACGTGGATGTTGTGGCCGGAGTGGAATCCAAAAGAGACGTGTAGTTGAAATAAATAATGGCACAATGTCATAAATATCGAAGTAAAAGACAAAATGAAAGGACTGGCGGCCCCCTAAGCCAGTAACCAGGCCGGATGTCGACGGATTCGGCGAGGTCGTCAGTTCCATGAGAATTTTGATAAATGTGAAGTGTATGTTTATGCGAACAGAAGGTCTCCCAATGTGGAGTTGACTTTTATATACTGATTATAAGTTTTGTTAACAAAAAAGTATGAAAAAGTGAATATAGTGGCAGCATTGCCTAAAGCAAGACCGCTGTGCCCTCCGACGAAACTCCTGTTGATTATTAGCAGGAGGAGCCTGGTCAAATGCGCAGCAGTGTGAAGCAACGGCCATTAAAAAGTAGAAAGAGAGAGCCTCTCCTGTTTTTTGAGCTCCAGTTTTATCGTCTTGAACATGTTCAAGAAATTGATATTTTAGGAGTAATTGCAAAATTGAAACCATCGCCAGAGAAAATAAATTAAAGGGTGTGATGAAGACGGTTGCAATTGCGTTTTTACGTAGTGAATCATTTTGAAAGTCAAGTTCGCATTTTGTATTTGTTCTGCCCTGATTAAAATTGATAGTTGTGAACATACTTCCGTTTAAGTGAATTTAATCAAATGTATTTTTTATTCATTACTAGCTGGGGTACCCGGCTTCTTCCAGGGAGTTAATCTGAGATTTTGTAGTAGTTGGGATGAATTATAAGGTCGGAGGATCTTGCTTTATAAACAATAAATAAGAAAGGTCAATGTTCCAAAACTTTCCGTAGCAAATAATCTCATCTTCCTGAATAGGTTGAGTAATATACCATATCTAAAAATATTATGAATACTAAACCTTTTTTTATTTTCTACTTAGAAGTTGAAATGAGTTATTCCAGGTATCAATATCTAAATCCAATGCAAATAGAAGTTGCCTTTGGACATGTATTATACGAAATTGTAAAAAGTATGGAAACTCCTAGAAATTCTGCGGATATGCCGATAAAACGAAAGGTCACGTCATACATAACTTTCAACCTGTAATTGAATTCGACTGTGCACCTAATATTCAAAGTCATGTCATGTTTAATTTTTTTAAATAAAACCAGTATTTTTTATAATAGATTCAAAAAGGACGCGAAATTTTACGTTCGAATATGTATTTAGGTCTAGAATTGATGAAACCCTTAGGGGTCGAAAAAGGTGAAAGTACGCCTTCGTAAAGTGAGAGACGAGAGGAACTCACTCTAAAAAAGTTCTCCACAAGTAAAATTGGGGGGAAACTCATTCTGAAAAATAATTCCAAAAAACAAGCCCTGTACGTCTACGCATTCGTTCGTGGCTTTCGATAAAAGTAGAAATAAGAGTTTCGTCAATTCTAAACATGGATACATATTTGAATGAAATATTTTTGTATCCGGTATCAAAAATAGGGGTCATAATTCAATGGAAATAGTTTCGACAATGGGGTTCGAAGTCAAATCTAATTGTACCTTAAGATGTTATCCCGGCACCTTTACCAGAGATATATTCCACGCCATAATAATATTTCCAAACAAAAGAGATTTCTTAGATTGAGGAAAATAACTGGATAACAACAGATACCAATATGATGCATTATTATAATTTTACCTATTTGAGAGTTCATATTTCGTCCAGAAGTTGGATGTTGATAGTTGTCTCTAGACGCTTTGTATTTGAATGAGATGTTCCGAACATTTCCTGTTTATAGTCGCATTCGGGATAGCCTCAGAGTAACAAATGTCTTATTAATACTCTGAGGGGTTAGCCTTTGGAACGATTCGGAACTGTCAAAAGCACAGTTAAGATTTGGCAAAAGTGCCAGTTTTGTAACTATTTTGAACCATTCTGGAATTGTTCGAATGGTGAATCCTAAAATCCGAATACGCCTTATAATATTTATGTAGCATTTAGAGCTGATGAGAATTCTGAAATGAAATTCTGTAAGCAAAAAAATAGAGAGAAATGGCAGCGATTTGCTCAGATGTGGGTAAATTTCGTAAACGGTTTTATTTCGTGTTTAGAGTTGCAGCACTGTTTAATATTCCTACGTACACCACTGTCTAATTACAAAGCAGTGACGCACACTTACATCTATATTTTGTTGTCGACACTGGGAACACGAGTAAGAGCAACGGTGCCAGATGTTGATAAATGTATTTACATAAGAAGAACTTGATTATAACGTGATTAAATAACGATTTTCTGTACATATAAGAAATTAAAAAAAATTATCAGATCAATCTTGAAATACAAAAAGACCGAATAACCGGTTTCTGAAGAATAAGAGCCAAAGTATACAATAAGTATAAAACCAAAAAAAAAAGGTTAATACAGAAAAATTTTAAAAAAATACAGAACTGACTGGTGTCCACAGTGATGTGATAGAATGGTGATTTTCGTCATCAGCATCGAGAGTGCTAGCTTTCAATTTATGGTACATACTCGATATATGAATGTAAGTGTAACAGCATTCTGAAACTTGGTTTATATTGCAGATCCTTTCTAAAGAAATATTCTTAATGAAAGTGCGAGCTTAAGTAACAATCAGCGTATTTTGATTTTGAAATTAGATTAATGGTTTGAAAATCATTTTGTAACCATCTTTAATAAAAACATGATTGTATTGATGTTGTATGGCCAAATTCGTAGTTCTGATAAGAAAGTTCAGCTTGGTTGAGCAAACATTCGTTATCAAATTGTCTGAAGAATTCCAAAAATATAACCTGGCAACACTGGTTGAGGAGGAAATGGAATAGGGCAGGCTAATAGGAAAATATCGTAAAATTAATGAGTGATTAGTTCTGTATTTCAATATTTCATCTGGATGGTGGTTATCATTGGATTATTCCAAAGACAATAGGAACAGTACACCTCCGTAATACAATAATACCTAGATACATTTGACCTCGTCAAGAAACGCGTTTTCCTAACACTCAGAAACTAACCATATATCAAAGGTTAAAAGAATTCCAGTATGTAATTTTTGTAACAGAGATCTAAACCTAAAGGTTCAACTACTATATAGTTATGTGTTAATTTTAAATAGGTCCCACATCAATATTTTTTCCTTGAGATAGGTAAGTATTATATAATCCCCATAAGTGTTGACATTTGATAATTGTTTAAAGTGAGCTCACATACCTATGATGAGTTGTAGGTACTCCTTTACGATTATTCACAAAGTATAAAGTTTATTCGCCCTGTATCTCATAATGTTACTTTATATAATAGGTATACATAGTCACACAGTAGTTATCATGTAAGTACTACTCAAAATGTCGCTAAGAACTGAAATGCCCTTTTATATTTCATTCAACAATACCAAAGCAAAGAGTTTCAAGTTGAAACCCACATTGTTTCAAGAAATTATTTAATTGCGTTACTTGGTACATTCCTCAAAACAAAATTCAATACATTCGACGGCAAAAATGAGTCACGCTTGACATGCTTTCGTATTAGACGCTAGACAGCTGATTATTGTTTGAAAATAATGTAAAGCAGCTGATGAGTGATGACTGATTACAATTAGAAGAGTTCTGTTTTATCGACGTCTTGCTTAATATATCTAGAGTTTATTGAATAATTTCATATTCATTGAAAGAAGACCTATTGAAACAAATCGAACGAATACAAATCCGCCATGTTCTTTCATTATGGAGAAAGAAACCTTTCTTCCTTAAACAAATTTGCTTATTGGAATCTGCAATCTACTTGACATTTCAATATGTGGCAACACTGAATGAAGGAACGGCAAGGCTTTGACACTGACTGAGTCTCGTTTTGGAGTACGGAGTTGTTCTCTTTATCTTCCATCTCTTTTTAACACGCGCAGAGGTGATACTTTCCCATTTCAGTTTGTTTGGTCTTGCTACCAACCCCGGTTCAATATCTGAAAATAAGTTATTATTAGTAGTGATAATTTTATTTTGATCAAGATTTCAGCTGTTCAGAATTCTTTTAAATAAAATGATGAAACAGAGTTCTTGAATAAAATCATTAAATTTAGGCCTTCTAGTTTTTTATTTACACAGCTTTAATTATTATGTGATAAAAATACAATTTAAGGTTAGTTGCATGGCTGCCTTGTTGCCTATTTCAGAGTTTTCTTGTGAATGTTTTATTAAATTTTTTTATTTTCTTTTAGTATAAAAATGGAAGACTATTTCGAGAGTTTTTCGGATGGAGTAACGAAATGGGAAATTTTTAAGGAAATGGTTGACCTGGATTTAGGTAGGTTGTGATTCTTATTAATATCATTGTAGTTGAATTTTTCCATTCTTCTACCAAATGTGTTCCCATTTAAAAAGAGCCACATTTTATTTCGCACTTCTTTATTAATAAATGAAGAATACCAAGCTAACTACAGAGAAAGGACAAAAATAACATGTATCATTGAAAACTCTTGAGAAATGTGTAGGGTCTTCACAGATGTTTCAGATACAATCCAGAAAAAATATTCTTTTGAAAAACTACTTATGGATATTGCATTACATAGAAATAACCTCTTTCAATTGAATTTATGAAATAACTATTCCGAAATATTTAGATGCACTGCACATTTTACTAAAAGGTAGAGCTAAAAACATGTTTCAAATATCAATCTTCCTACAAAATATATTTTCAAAAAGAGCCAAATCAATTCTTCTGATTTATTAATTCATAATCTCCATTCTTACAGGCGAAGAACAGGAACACAAATCAGTTTCAAGTGTTCAACTGCTTCCAAGACAAGATGTTTTTTTGTATGGGACAATTCCTAAAATGGAACAAAGAGTTTATACTAAATGTAAAGAATGTAGGCTAGTTTTTAATCCTCGAGATATTTTATCACATAAAGCATGTCCTGGAAAATCTCATTCATCTTCACACAGCCTGAAAAAGAAAGTCAAAAGCAAAGGAAGTAGTAGCAAAAAGTCCCATTCAAGTCTACCCCCACCACCACTTTTCAAGGTAAGATTTTCAGATTATTCAGTATCAACTGTTCAAAAAAAAGGAAGGAATGAACTATTGTATATTGAAATGTGGGATTGTTCAAATTCATCTCTAAAACCAATATAAGTTAGTTCTTGATTGGAGTAAATTTATTTCAATAGAAAATAATTAATCATTTTCATTGTAATCAATAGACTTCAAATGATACATCCTACACTCAAAAGTAACGTATTGCATGTTTGATAACCATCTCGATAATCATATTAGATGCACTTAGAAAGGATTCCAGTCAAACAGCAAACAGGGTAGGTCAAAAAGTAATCTTCAAATATGAGGTAAAGGTATCCCATTTGACTTTGTATTCTCTGGATAATATTCATTGTTGATATATTTTTTAAAAATTTAATTAAATCATATTCAAAATACTCACAATCAAATCACTTTGGCCTAATTTTATAATTGTGAAATTTACTTTAGTTATACCACCTTTGTTTTTGCAATGATATCTAAGATAATTCTAAAATTTCTAAAATATTTTTTGGAGCGATACACAAACCCCTGAATTACAGTATAACATTTGTATTTCAAAGTTATCTTACCAAAATTATCACACGTTAGTACACTTTCCATGCATCTGCTTAACTGTTCTATGATAAAAAAGACTCAAAGTAGATCTAGCAGGAATACTACTAGAAAATTATTGCATTTTTTTTCACTTATTTGAGAGTGTTCAGAAACACAAAAATATCTGACATTTGTATGCCAGAAATCATTTAAACAAACGAACTGAATCTGGTTACTTCAATTCCATCCATAGGAACTGGATTAATTGAAAGGAGTGTTATGGAAAAATATGCAAGAATGTGAGTAAATTTTCATTCAAAATATTCCAAATACTGTATATGGCAACTTTGAAACTACATTTTTCACACATAATTCACCTTCCAATTTTAGATTGAAAATTTCTAATTATTTATTACTCTTTCTTTTATTATTTTAGGAATTTTATTATAATTGTATTGTTTTACTTAAAATGTTTAATTTACTTAATGAGAAAGACAAGGGTTTTGTTGTCTAGTTAAATTTCTATGGGGGGAGGAGTTAGTTGAAAAAAAATTATCAATATTTGTAGATTTGGGAGGGGCATTTTCTATTAACTTAATTTCAATGGAAAAGTAAAAAGCACAAAAAAATTTCAAAGGACAAAATTATTGTTTTAGATCGATTGATTATTAATAGTAATTAGTATAAATTTTTATGGTCTGATATGGTATTCCTTACATATTACTGGGAGATGTTTTCATGATTAATTGGATTTGTATATGAATTCCAAATACTGCTGGAAAATTGTTTTTTATCGATTCATATTTGCACAATGCTTTTAATTTCTCAAATACATATGATTGGAATGATTTTTTTTTCATTCTATATGTAATTGATTAGTTACAAAATGTATGAGATTCATTCATTCAAAATTAACTCTTTCCTAGTGAACCATTCTTTTGTATTATTAAACACATTTCCATACCTGTTTTCACTTCTTCAGGATATTTTTCACTGCCTGTTAGTAAATTAGTGTCATCAGCTAATACTGTAATTGATTTATCCGTATTTGAATGCTAACATAAATCATTCATGTAGATGATGAATAACAAGGGACCCGCAATGCTTCCTTGGGGTATTCCTACTTTCACTGCACTTATACCATATGGTTCCAGTTTTCTTTTATAAGTACCTCGTGATTCAAGCAGTCGAATGCCTTTGACAGATATAAGAACATACCGAGTGCTAAATATATTCCTTCCATTAAGTTTGTTATATTTTGAGTAAATTCAAATATTGCACTGTGACTTGATCTCTCTCGTAAATATCCGTGTTGGTTGTTGCTAATTATATTACATCTATATAGGAAATTTGTAATGTTATTACACGCTAGCTTAAATAATTTTGGCAAAACTTGGTAGAATATTTATAGGTCGATAGTTTTCCATAAGTGTGCGGTGTGTATTTACAGAATGTTATGCTATAAACCAATTCAAATGATAAATGATTCCATGATGTTTTTTCCATTGTTATTCCTTTGTCCTTAAAATAAAATTCTTTCCAATATAAATTTTGGGCAGGGTTTTCGCCCTGCACCCACCGTAATTTATTTTGTGCTTTTTGTATAATATTTGCTCTGTATATCAGAAAGATTCTATGATTTTCAGCATCTATGGGGTGCTAGTTTTATAATAAAATCCTGGATGATATTTCAAACAGGCCTATCTTGGCTTTGTCTTTGTACAACACATTACAAATGTCCCAGTAGTGGTTTATGTGGTTTCGAATGAAAGATTAGATAAATTTTATCATTGAAAGGATTATGAAAGGAAGTGATGTATTTCATGTGATAGTATGTATATGTAAAAAAGTGTTTCATACAAGTAATGATCAATTTTTCAGTCACACTTGTAAAATATCCATTGAATGAAACATAAAATTATTGCACTTGTTCATTAATAAGAATTTTCAGTTGAACCACTCTGTTAACAAGTAACATTATTGATAATGCCACATATGAGTATTTTATTTTGAAATTGTTTCATCCCCATTAAAAGAGTTTTTTTTGGTATTGCTATGTGACAAATGTAATTTCAATTTGCACATATTTCAAAAGCCTTTCAACCTGAACAATATGTCGTTATTTCCATACGAAAATTAAAACATTTCATCTTTCATCAAAGTAATTTTCAACTTTTGTAGTATTTCCACATTATCCATTCTATATTATTAATTTAATTTTTTGTATCCTACTGAATTCCCAATCTTTATATGACTCGGTAATTTTTTTCCCTTTTTCGTTGTTACTTTGTCAATTTTTGGTACTTCCTTCAAATAATTGTGATTTGTTTTCACTTGTTCGATTGATGATATTTTCATAAAGAATATAACTTTTGTCTAATTTTTACTAATTTTATTGTTTGTTATGACTGGTTTCGTTTTGTTGCCGTGCTAAATTCCACTAATTCATGAAAATACATCTGAATTTGTTGGACTTTTTACCTTCATCAAATATTATTGAATCTATCAAGTTTTATATATTTTGTTTGATTGATGACCTATTTATATTGTAGAAATTCCTATTGAATATGGAGTAAAGAAAATAACTTTCGTCTCATTTCTACTGAGTTTTTATTTGTTATGATTGGTTTAAACCATTTTCAAGTGAAAATGGTTTAACAAACCAAAACTCAGTAGAAATCAGACAAAAGGTTATTTTCTTTATGCTATATTTTATATATTTATCTAATAATGAGAAGTCATTTTGGTAATGACTATTCATGATTGTTTGGGAAAAGTTTGCCTTTGTTTAGCAATAATAAATTCGTCATTTCTTAGAATTATTTACTATCCTTTATTCAGAGTATAATTTCTCAGGAATTCGAAATAAACTCTTGGAAAACTCAGAATAAATGACTGTCAACAATTTAAAAAAATTATAAAGTAATCTGACTGTGAAAACTTCACTCAATTTATAATCATAGACATAGTTAGAAAACGAGAGCCCAAAAACAACACATTCAACAGTTGACACTAGACAGCGCTGTTTCGATCCTCCATAGGTCTCATTAGTGGTGCTAGGCCGAACCATACATGCACTGCTGGACTCAGCTGTCCCTTGAGAACAAGCCTGAGCAATAACGATGAGTTTGGAACCTTTGGTGTGAAAGTTGAATAACTTTTTTCAAGATCAATTGCCCTAACACCAAACTGATATTTTTGCACTCGACGCAAAATTTTCTTCTCCTGAGGATGCTAACTTTGTTGGCGAAGGCAATTGATCTCGAAAAAAAAGTTATTCAAGCCTGAGCAAGTAAGGTCGATGCCACCTCACCTCACGAAGATGCCATCTATGGGTGTCAAATAGAACTCAATCCTTTAATATCAAAGATAAACGAGGCTCCCCAAGGCGGTCAGTTGCAAAGTCAGGGTTCGACATTCACCGCCGACTAGATTCGTCCTGTCTTTCACTGCAAGGTAACTAGCGGCTTGCAGTGAAAGACAGAAGGCGAATCTCGTCGTCGGTGAATATCGAAACTTGAATTTGCAACTGACCGCCTTGGGGAGCCTCGTTTATCTTTGATATTCGAGGATTGAATTCTCTGTCGATTCCATGGTTGGTGTCGTAAGGGGAATAGTCATCAACCCTATTTGAACATAGTTGTTTATATTTCTTTAATCACATCATCACCTTATCACTAAAAATTTTATTGGAGATATCAGTTTATTCAGCCGAATAACTCTGGTGACTATTATAATGGAAGTCTAGATTGTCAAGTATTTGAAAGTGATGCATTCCAAAAAACAGTTATGTTTCAATAGAAAAACATTCGTTTATATTACAAATGTTTTTCATCTGTTTTAAATTTTAAATCTGTTCTCTTTCAAAATGTCATTCTCATCATTATTATTTTTTATTTTCTTCAGTTCTGGAAAATCTCATATTCGGAATTTGGAGGTGAAGATGTAACCAGTATATTTCTGAAAGATGAAATTAAAAATCTGTACATTAAGGTGTCCACCATGGTACTATTCTAGGATCACATCTATTAACGGTATACTCTAAATTACTAAGTTTGTTTTTATGAAATGTTTCCTATTGTTTTGAGTAAAGTCTTACTTCGATTTGCCATAGTTGAAGAGAACTGAAATTTGGGACAAGATTTTGGATGAAAATTTTGTTCTTTTCCTGGCTTGCTCTTCTTAATAATAATAACAAAACTGCACATTCCACCTAATCATTTGTATGCAGTGCTCAGAATAATCAATTTTTATATATCTCCAGCGACTTACCAAAAAACCTGCTTGTGCTTTTGTAGTTCCTCTCATTCTGAATACAAAATATCATCAATTTTGAAAGTCATATTCAAGAAATTCGGAGATTCAAGAAAACACATTATATAATATGATTGTCCTTTTGAATGTTCACAGTCCCATTTTCATGAGAGACGGAAGTTAGATTTGAATGGGCAAAA